ACCGCCCCGCCATTCCTCCCTCAGGTACCGCCCTTCCCGCCTCAGATACCGCCTCTCCAGTCCCGCCTCAGGAAACCCCGCTATTCCTCCCTCAGGTATCGCCCCGCCATTCCTGCCTCAGGCACCGGTCCACTATTCCCGCCTCAGCCAAAGCCACGCCCTTCCCACCTCTGGCACCGCCCCGCCATTCCCTCCTCAGACACAGCTCCTCCCTTCCCACCTCAGGCACCGCCCCGCCATTCCCTCCTCAGACACAGCTCCTCCCTTCCCACCTCAGCCACCGCCCCGCCATTCCCTCCTCAGACACAGCTCCTCCCTTCCCACCTCTGGCACCGCCCCGCCATTCCCCACTCAGGCACAGCTCCTCCCTTCCCACCTCAGGCACCGCCCCGCCATTCCCCACTCAGGCACAGCTCCGCCCTTCTCRCCTCAGACACCGCCCCGCCATTCCCCCCTTAGGCACCGCCTTGTCGAGCGGGTTTTTGCGGTGAAGATGCTGGATTCGCTGGGAGAAGCGATTCTTGTGGAGTCTCCCCCTGGGCTGGTGACTGGCATTCCTGCCTGGGCGCTGCTGGCTGCTGCTCGCTGCCAGGTGAGATACGGACATCGGGGAAGAGCAGGCGGTCTGTCCTGTCAGACCGTGTCGGTCTTGTCCTGCCACCTCTGCTGAGGCTTGTGTGGAAATAAACATTCACTAGTTTGTCCCGATGCAGTTTCTTAGRGAGCCGATGAGCGAAACTAGACGACCTTTTGGGAAAGCTTGTTGTGAGGAAGTTTAGGAAAATKGAAATTGTTTTAAGATACACTCCTTTCCTTGAAGGTTAGTTGGAGCTTGTGCACTGAACAAACATAGGAAAGTTCATGTAGATAGTGTATTGTGTGTGCTTTATTTGCACCACACCCAGCTGCAGGAGTAAATGAAGCAGCACAACCTGAAGCCACACTCACAGTTGGGATGTGCCACCCTCAGTCCTTCCAGTTCGCTCTATATTAAAATCAGGGCTAYTATTTTCATTGTGTCCAGAAGAGAAACCAGAAACCCAGGAATATGTGAAACAAAAGCTTCCTTTTGGTAACTATTACCCCTTTTTAGCTTTATGGTAAGAGAGCATAATGCTTGCTGCAGAATACAGAGCAGGTGTTTCTGGCAGACMTTACTTCTCTTAAACAAGCACTTAGAGATAGGGTTATTATTTCCTTAATAAGTTCTGTCAATAGAAAAAAGCATGGAATTGCKTTTGTATAACAAGTACTGGTTAAGCACGTGTAGATGAAGTATATTTGTAGATTCGGAGAGAAACAATGACTGTACTTCCCTTTTAAGTGTTATCCCCATTTGTATTATCTGGTTTATTTTGGTTTTCCTATGCTTTTGCACAATATTAAATACATAGAGAAACTGTTTCTCAGTGTAAATACCTATGTGCAATACAGTGTAAATACCAGTGTAAAGWAACTAAGTTTCCATTTGAGAGCTTGTGCAAAAAATATTGAAGTTCTGCCTATGCAAAATAATTTCTGCAGCCTTTTGTGTTATGGAATTTAAGTAGGATTTGTACAAAAAATATTTTAGCATTTGGTAATTGRACTTCTTTTAATTCAAGACAAAACAATAACATAAAGAACTAGCCCATGTTTTCAGCTGGGTTAGGTGACTGCAGCTATGGAGGTGTTGTGAGGGGATGGAAGGGGAAAAAAAACCACTCAAAGGATGTGTAGAAAATRGTCTTTTTTATTGTTTAGTCATTCTGGTGCAGCTCTCTGTGAAGTGCTTAGCTGAAGTGCTTAGCCCCTTTTGAAGAACCKCTTGGACTCAACTCCTTCATAGATGTAGGTCTGTTAAGAAATTAAGAAGAAAAATCAGTGGCTGGAATTGCAAAGTTTGATTTCCTAGATATGGTTCAGAGAGTTTGAAATTTTGATAGGCAGTTTGAGAATTTTAATTAAAGATAAGTGAGGTTATTTGATTTGAAGAAAATATTTTCTGCTTTTAGAAAATKTCTTAGAACTTTTTCTGTTTGTTTTATTGCAAACTTGTCTATAAATGACTTCTTAACTCACCTGAACGAGTTCATCACCCACGATTTCTCTGTATGCTTTAAGTACTTTCCCATTGTCTTTTCTGGTAAATGTGCCCACAAGTTTRTTTCCTTCCATGGTCCAAGCACCCTATGATGGGGAAAAAACCAAATATTTTGCAACAATTATGACACCACTTTGATTTAAAGGCTGTAGAATGCTTAAAAGAGCAAAAAAGATTAAAACTGTGTAATAATGCTTTTTAGAAAGGCTGTAAAAATGAAATTTTAATAAAACCACTRGTTTATTTAAATGCATAATAGCTAAACTAGGTGTTTTTTACTGGTCAGTACACCTCATTTTAATTAATTGTATCAACAGAGAATATGTAATTTCTTACAAATACCCACTCTGCACTCTAGGTGGTAGACTTGAGTATTAGAAAAATTAGAATTGTAAATCACCTGGATTTCATCTTGTGRAAATTGCTACTTGCTCTGCTTTTGGACTCTCTGTGGTACCCTGAAATCCATGGTACAGTGTTGAACCATTAACAGTAAAGACTCCCCTGGGCTTTGGTGTGTAAGGTGCAAGCATTCCTGAACAGTCAGGTTCAGTAAAATTTCAAGTAACTCAAATGTAAAATTTAATTTAAAAACTAGGAACACAAATAATTCATCTTGAAACTGTGCTTCATAAGGTCATTATAATATAATAAATACTGAATTAGAAAGACTTACAGAAAGTTCAGTCCCATCAGCCAGGCTGTACTCAAAGTTGACTCCCAGAGTGAATTCAATCTCTATGTTTCGGAAGTTGCTGGCTTCTTTGACGACAAATTTGTTCCCGTCTTGTTGGAAGGTGAGCTTCAGATTATCATGGGCTCCCAGCTTTCTCTTCATCATGCCAACACCTAGAAAAATCAGTTAACATAAATCAGAAAAAACCCCAAATCTTTAGAGCATCATATTTGTCCTTTTTTTAGTGAATTCTTTGTAGCCAAGTGAGTTTATTTCCGCATTGTTTTATCCTTCAGTTTTCATTGAGGCCATAATCACTGGTACACATGTAATACAAATCAGTGTCTAATKGGAGTGGTTAGGTTTATATCCATATAATGTGCAATTTGTACAAACTTGAAGTAAATATCAGGATGTTAGAACCACTTGAATCAAGTATTTCTCTGAAAATGAAGAATATGATTTCCTCCCTGAGTTTTAAAACCATTTGATGTTGTCAAAACAATATTCCAACTATAGAATTCTGCTTAAAGTTTATCCATCCAAAATCTCTGAGCCTTTTCCTCAAATATAGACTCATAGATTCTTTTTTCAGCTGAAATAAATTTGGAAKGAGTGAAGATGCTTAAGATTCATACAATGTAATTATAATCAGAATATTTCAGAGCATCTTCCSCCCACCCCAGAATATTTAGAAAATAAATGTAAGGGCAGAGCAGCCAAGAGTGAAAGGACAGGCTGGCCTTAAGGCAGTTAGTTTGTATTCAGGTGGAGCAGTATTTTTTCTGCAAAAGGGATTGGAAAAGTTAGCCTTACCCATTGCCTCCATGAACTTCTCATAGTTCTCATTTCTGTCAATTTTCCAAGACCCGTCGAATGCCATGGCTGTACCTGCAGGAGAGCTGCTCTGCAGGAATGTGTCTGTGTGAAGGGAATTTATGTGCTGCCTTATCTTGAGAGTAATTTACAGGATGATGTGGCTGAGTAAAGCTCAGCTGATGAACTGACCTCTCCAAGGAGAAATTTGCTGTAGTTTGATCAAATTCCCAGTCCTGACCAYACAGTTTGCTGAATCTCTTATTGCCCCCAGATCATGACAGTATCTTTATTGCTCATCTCAGTTAAGAATTGCTAATCCATTCATTCTGTCCACCATGGGTAGTAAAAATCAGCTATCTAGTGAAAGTAATAATTAAACTGAGAATATTTCTTGACATTTTTTTATCTCAGCTGTGTCTTCAAGCTTGTGGGAGACTCTTTGTGGAGTTGGAGGTGACATTATTTACCCAAAAAGCAAACACAAATCTCTACTTTGTCCATTATAATTTGGATGGGATCTGTTCTATGCAACATAATAAGCATGGGGCAGGAGGATTTACTGAATATCTGCAGCTTTTTTAGAAAGCTCTTTCTGCTGCCTGTCTAACACTGAGCTGTGAAAATTGGGATGGTAGTCTTTATTCATGTGATCACTTTTTAATATGTACAGTTTAAATTCTCAGCAGCTTCTACAAATTTTCTTCATTATAACACATTCAGTGAAGAAACTAACCCGATTGGAGGTGTACAGGCTCTTTCCTCCTGATGGTGATGAGGGAAGTACCTCACAATGTGCATTTCACAATAACAGGTCTCTGTGTGTAGCTCTCACATGCAATTTCTTTCCACAGTTTCATGTAGTTTTTTATCACTTGAATAATTCAAAAAGTGTTTTAGCCCATGCCCTATGCTGTTTTATTCATGTATGCCCATCTTACCGTTCAGCCAGCTCAGAAAATGGGCAAGCCAAGCTTCTTCTAAGAGTCAGATTAATTTTAATTGCAGTGCTGTGTGTCTTGACCTTTGTAGATCCCATTGTCAATCTTAYATGTGTAGTATACATACATAAGCAAAAATACCCAGTGCTGAGTTATAGTTCATCCTATATAGTTATAGGTGTTTTTAAATAACAGAACTGAAAACTCTCTGTACAGTCATTGCAGAAAGGTTCTTCCTGGAAGTGATGTAGTGCAACTTCTGGTGCATTTAGTAGAAAATTGAGGCCTATAATAATGTCAGTTGTTCAATATGACAAAACTTGACTGGTTTTTCACATGTACTAGAATCATACAACATRCACTTCATTTAGAGTTCTTTTGTCTTTCTGTAATAGCTGTTTTTCCTCTAAAATGATAGTTTAAATTGTTTTTATACATTTTTGGTTTTGGTTGGAATTTCCACAACATTTTTCATTCTCCTATCTATCTCTTCCTTATGTGGTTTTCAGAACTAAACCTTTTTCTTWGGTGRTGCATTGAAATCTTGTTTTCTAGTRTTGCTGGTTTCATGRCAGTTTTGAAAGCTAAGGGTGTGTTCTTGGCTTTGTGGCTTTCTTCAATGTGCCAGCTTCAGAACACTGAAAATGGACCAACTTATTAACTTTGAAGTTTGATCTTCAGATAAGGTGGATCAGAATAAATTATTAACTTATATAGTCATGCCAACCTCATCCTGCAAATTTATGATCATCATAGCAAGCTRTATTGTGATGACAATTGACAAAGAAGTTCCAAAGATCAGGGCAACAAAAAGGCTTTTGCAGTGGGTTTTATTMATCTCTCCTATTTACTATTCTGTGGCTTGTATTCAAGTTGTTCTGACTAAAACTAGCTAGGATAGCAGAACTCTTGGATTGGTTAAAGCTTGGTGCCAGCATAAACATAATATAYTTATGAAAATATTGATACATATAATATTGTGTAACTGGAGATAGATTAATCCCTGACAAAACCATGCAGGTTTATTGGGCAATATTTGTGTGTGYTTTCTACTGAATGATTCTTCATTGTCTTAAGATGGATTGCAAAGATGGATCCCTTACTGTGAAGTTTTACTAAGCATTTTGAACCCCAATACTCAATTTTGTATCAGTGTGGAAAACAGACAATTCTACRCCAGTAAAGCAAATTTAAACATAACAGTGGGTGGCCTAGCAACCAGGAGCTTGATGGAGCCTAAATAATGCCATCTCTTGGATAAATAATTTCAAAGTGCATTTTTCAGTGGAGTGTTGCATTGCTGCAGGATTAGATCCTACTCAAGCTAGATGTTGTCCTACTCCAACTGCATGTTTGCTGAATTTCTGGTTTTATTTTGGTTCAAGGAGAATCTCCTGGATGCTGCTAATATGAAATCTGTCCAACAAGAGAATTCAACATTTGAGGATTACCTAGAAATCTCTAGTGAGTATAGATCCATTTGTGTGATTAGTAAATGGTGGGCTGTGGGTCTTAAACCTTATTTTTAACTGTCTGTATATACTGCATTTTAATTTGTGTTTAATGGCTCTGATCCATTAAGTGCTGCATTTTTGAGAGTTCTTTACTGGAGAGAACTGAAGTGTATGAGTTAATAAGCTCTAATAATAAGATCTAGAAGCACAATTTAGGATTAAMGCAGTAACAACCCTGGTATTTACTTTATCAGTTACTGTGTGCTAAAGAAAATCCCAGGATTACCTAGGCTACTAGAATCTGGCCTTGTTTCAATGAGAARAGSGTGACAGTGAACAATTRCCAATAAAARTTGTGYTTTTCCAGAAAAGGTTGTAAGAATYYCTGAGTATTAGTGCCATTTGTCACTTGCCACATAGAGACTGATATGCCAGTTGCCCCCATGGTTCTGCATAATATCAAGAGCATATCCACAGTATAATATCAAAAGAGCACCCTGTATGGCTCAGATATTTAAATATTTGTATATGCAAAAGGAAAAGATGGTTTCAGATAAAAATTCTTTTGTGTCTCATGTAAAAACAGAACGGAAACCCAGGTTCTGCTTCTCTCTCTTATCTCAGAAATGGACTTTCCACATGGCCCTGATCAAATTAACCCCTCTACTTATCTGTGAAATGAACTTTCCTTTCATTAAGMAGCTCTGTATATCATAAAATAAATTGCCTGTGACTTCATTAACTATGACAATAAAAGGATTCTGAATGCTTGTATACAAATTTGTCATGTGTAAAGCAGTGGTATGATTTAACCATGGCTTTTGCTCCTAGAACTTGATAGTCTTAAACAAGACAAAGTTATGTAAACTGTAGATTTTTCAGCTATTTAGCAGCTGAAACATTATGAACTTGTGGTGTTTTTCAGCTGAAATTGTTCTAAGGTTCTATGTGTTCTAAGAAATGCTAATCTTCTTGGAATTGTCTTCCATAAATTGTCCTAAAGCTTACTACTGGAAAAAACCTCACTCATGTGAGTATTTTCCTAAAAATCTTAAAGGGTGAGATTCTCTGGGAGTGTGAAATGCAATAGCTGTCACCATTGTTACTAAAAATGTGGCTGGAGGAAAGAGCTTTGTCTTTGCCTTTTGTTAAYGAGGCATCACAGCTGTACAAGATGAGAAAGACCTCGTGTAATATTTGTTCACCTTGCTCAAGGTTATGTTCTTGTCAGGGCTGGGTAAGAAATGTATCCCAGTGCTCCTGCCAAAAACATTGCCTTTGGAAGGAAATTCAAACCTTAAGCAGGCCAGAAAGACTGAGCAARAGCATGACTGGGTTGATGAGGGGGCTGGAAAGGTTGTGGTCCCAGCAGCGAACCGTGACCTGATGTTTGTAGATATGCACAGGCAGTTGTGCAGTTGCACGCAGAAATTGCAGATGGTTTGAGCAAACAGYGCTTGTGTTTTGTGCTGAGCTAAATCTGGCCCTTCATAACTTCTTGAATGAGCCTGCTGTTTGTCAGGGATGTACATACTTTTTGGTTTTGCCTAGAGCTAAAAAAAGTCAAGCCAGAAGTGTTGCTGTGTTGGACCTAATAGGCAAAGTACAGAAATTGCCAAGAAGCCACTGGTCCGGAATTACTTCTATGATCAGCAGTTTGCACATGATGAGGCTTAGGTCAAAAATARTATTTTTCACAGTTTTGGTTGGAGTCACTGGGCTGACTATTTCTATGTCTCTTGCATGCTGCCCCAGGAATTGGTGTATGGCGGCAGAGGATATGGATYCATCTGTGTAACTCTTTTATTTGCTGGTTCTGCTTTCTGTTAGAAATAAACTGGTTTCTGACAGCTCTCGGTAGGTGCAGCTCCAGTGCTCTCTAGTGGTTAGTAGCAGTGAAATATTTTCTTGCTGTTTTTAAACAAGAGCTACTTCTCGGCTGGCCRATCTCGGTAGTACTTAGAAATATCCTGTCACATCCTTAGAAGTGACATTTTTCTCTTCAGGATTTCTAGGACCTAGAGAAGTTACTATGAAGTTTAAATTTATAGAAGCAATTATTTGAATCAGGTGTTGAAAATTCAGCCTCAGTAATATTAATTTACAAGCAGTGAAATTTTATATAATCCCTTTCATTTTAAAAAGCATGAAAACAGTACAAAGAGAAGAATGAGGAAATAAGTAATAAGCAGYAGTCTGACCACAGAAAATAAACTTACTCTATGTTCTCTATGAGCTGTACAGGAAGCAGGGCTCATGATTCTCCTAAGTAATGTAACTAGCTTTKTCCTAAGAAGTCGGTGGACAGAAACAAGAGAGAACACATAACATTCAGAAGACTTTAATACTGCTTAAAGGCAAAACATAATATACAGAGAAACCCCTTAACCTAATACAAAAATACTGTGCCCAGAAACTATATATTTGTTCAAATATTTTTAAAAGATAGAAGAATACAAATGSACAAACTCAATGACTAGTGACTGTGATTAAGGTTTTTATTAAACTGTAATAGGAATGTATGTTAAAACTATTTACAGTGCATTTCAAACTACATTCTTTACGAGACACATGCAGGTGTCTGCTATGTGAATACAAAGAGGACTCAAATTCTAACTTTARTTACATCTGTAAGGTACCTTGAGCATCAGTAGGAATAGCTGAACACAGCAAAGAGCCGGTTAGGCAGCTGTCACCAAAGGTAAGGGTTTGGTCCCTCTCTACAGGTAAAAAAAGGTAGGATAACCCATTCTTGGACTTTCRATACAGCTCAACCCAGCTCCCACTGAGGTAAATGGAAATCTTATAACTGACTTCAGGTGGGCACAAGTAAGACCCTGGCATGCCAAGCTCATGCTGTGGAAGTTAGTGGGAACCAGCTCTTACAGAGCATTGTCACATAAATATACATTTACAAACAGTGGTACTTAGATATGAGTTTCTCTATGGAAACAAATTTCTTTATGTGGAAAAGAAACTTTCCCATGCAATTTCCATTCATCTCGCAATGACCAAGATAAAASATCCTGCTGTCACATTTTGCTGTATTTATCAAGTGTCACTAATTACCAGGCCAGATTCTGTGATGTTTCTTCTTCTTGTCAAAGGCCAAACCAAAAAACCAGCCCTCATTATTTACCATACTCTAGCAAAACTCATTCTGTTATTGAAGCTCCACTTTCAAGCTTGCGTTTCAAATTAGTGCAAGCCCCTGAAGAAGCAGGGAACTGTGAAATAAAGCTGAAACCTTGTGCAATGTAAACTGCATGTGATTTGACATGAAGAAAAAACCTGCAGCATCACAGAGATAAGACTCTGAACTAATGCCACTATATCAATTTGTTTGAAATACTAGGTCTTTATAAAACCTTTAAAAACAGATTCATTTACTGAGGCATTTTTTTCCATACAAAGTCTCTGCTGTTTTCTTATGCATAACTGAAAGGGACACCAGCCAGATCGCTACTCTAATTTTAAGGAACTGGCTCTGACTCTCGTCTTTCTGTATAATGGGTTGGAAAATCAGTTACCAGGTAGTTCTGAAAAACTTTATGTATGAATTAGCTAAGTGTGCTGATTTTGTCAGTTCATGCCACTGCCAGGTAAAATGCATTGGGTTGGAATTCAAAAGATGCACGCTGTTGTCAGGGCTTGATGCATAGAATCGGGCTTTGGTTTTCTCTTCTAAGAAGAAATCAGCTAAGCATCACTGAAATTAATTGTTTCCTTTTATCAGTAGCTCRCTTGTACATGTGCTCTGTGAAGATATGAGTAATCTGCTCTTAAGTATAAACTGCTTCTAATTAAAAATTAACACCATCTCCACAATCAGCAATACATTATTCCCCCTCAGCCCCGTTTCTTTAATTGTGTGAGATAATAGAAAACCTAGGCTTTCTACAGCTGATATTGGCTGTGTGGCTAATTCATTGGAAAAGAAATAGTACCTGCAGCTCAAGAGTCTCACTGTTATTTGGAACTAAGAGGTAGGATTCATCAATAATGTTGTGTATGTTAATATAACTAATGATTTTCAGAACAAACAGAAATAAAAGTCTGCTTTAAGCATTAAACTGTGCTATGGAGTGAGTTTGAAAGAAAATCTGTCTGGATCTGAGATGAAGCAGGATACTAACACAGTTATCTTCATTAAGAGGAGTATTAAGAATTAGTGGCACAAATTATTGTACTCAGAGACAAATCTCAAATGTGACAATGGTTTCAATGGACTTAAGGCTGAGCTGACAAAGTGATAAACTCCATTTCAGCTGGTTTCCTGTGTAAGCCACACTGATTGTTTTAGCTAGACAATATAAATTGGGACAATATGTTTGAGAGCTGACTGAAATAATTAGATACACAACTCCTGATGAAATTAATGACAGCTGCATAGCTGTAATCCACCAGCTGGCTTTGAAATTGTTGAATTCTGAACACAATGAACTGCAGGCAAGAAAGCTCCAGCTTTTTTTTTCCGTATTGTCCCCTACCTACATTATGAAAGAAAGGAGCAGTTTCTGCAAATGATTCACACAAAGCCATGACACAAGAACCAACACACGCTGACTCTGCCTTCAGGCAGAGTAAAGAACTATGCAAAGACTTTGAATTTCATGAAATACAGCATTCTATGCTTTTAAAGTTCTTAAACCAGTAGTTTATAGGCTTTGGTTTTGTAGAAATATATACAGATACAGGTGTGTTATGATATTTGAATGTTTATTTACTAGGAACGGTATTTATATGTATGTTCCAACTTTTATAGTGGAAAAGATTCTATGGGATAAATGTGTACAGATATGTAATTAAATATATGCACATACTGTATAACTGTTCCTTTTAAGYGAACCTTTAAAAAAATGTAACATCACGCCCTTTTTTTCAAGTCAAAGGTATGAATCCAGCACTCCTTTGTAGCATTTATAAATTTAGTTATAATAAAGCTTTGCTGAACATACCATATTACGAAGAAATACTGGAATATTAATGTCAAAGTTACATCACTACACTGTGATATCATCATAGTCATCTGCTGTGTTGTCACCATGAATTACTAGTSTCAACCATAATAGCAAGAATACACCTTTATATACATATATTTTTTTCCTATTTATATTAAATATGTATTTCAWTAGTTAGCATAATAATTATATTTCAGTATCTCAAGCACTCAAGGAAAAGACTATACAAGGACTACGCAAATCCTGAAGTTTTCTATTTATCAAAAAGTACCTAAAACCTTTTTCTGAGGAGTTGTGTTGGGATGGGCAGGCTGCTGTCATCTGCATACTGTGTGTGCACAGAAATGCACATATGGAGCACGGCAGAACAGTAGTCCTGSAATTTTTAATGAGTGTTGAGATCCATCTTTTTTCTTTTTTCTGTGGGGGGACAGAATCAGGAGAAATACTTCTGCAGAAGAAGGTTTTCAAATTCAGCTGCAGTAATTTATTATTGCCACTCACTAGAGAAGTTTGAGATAGGACTTAATCAGTGACRAATAATTTAAGTTGGCAGAAATGCTGCTGACTCACAGTACATTACATTAAAAAAATCAACTATATAACTCAGCATCATCAAACATTTTGAAACATTTGCTTCATCTTTTCTTAGCTTCTGGCATACTTTATCTAAATGAAGAAATTGATAAAAAGGTGGACTTTCCCCTGTCTTTCTGGCCAGCTCTTATGAGTTTGGGTTGACAATTTCCTGGGAACAAGAATTTATTGCCATTTCCAACTAGAATTTTCTGAATTGTTGTGATAGAACTCAATACCCACACTCCAAAGTGCAATTCAAAATGTGCTACTTTTGCCAAATATGATTGCTGATTTTAACAAAAAAAATTGTTACTGACTAGAAAAGTGGAACATTGTGTGTGTGTCTGTGCAGCCAGAGTTACAAGTACTGCTAATGCATTTTAGACTGCTGACATCCCTTTCCTAACCCTATCTACCCAAAGAATAGTACTCCCTTCATATTCCTCTTTTGGGAWTTGTCTAATGTGTATCTTTTCTTTAATTGATTCCCAATTCAAACCCTTTCTTATTAATCATCTTCATTTAAATAATACACCATTTTTTTTACTAGTGCAAATGAATTGATTTCTTATTTTTCACACCATTAATGCCTCACATACAAATCCCTGTAGCATTCTTAGGTATTTTTGCTTCTGGTATTATTTTTTTTCCTATTTCTTCAAGACACTATGATTAATCATTTTTTACTAATGCTAAAAATGCGCTTTAAGAGATGTTAACATAAAACTTTCTTCTGAGTGGTCATAGCATTTTATAGTAACACTGGCCTGAAGAATCAGTTCTTGATGGTCACCAGGAGTGTGCCATTCCTGCATCATTCTGATTCAGATTTTCACCTCTTGCAGTCATTCTCTTCTGCCTGGGGTTCAGTCTGTTGGTTAGATGATGTTAAAATCAACTTCCAAACGAAGCTAAAACCAGCATACAAAACCAATGCTGTTTTTCCATTTCTCTGTGTGCTTCTTGCAGCTTTCTGTGGGAGCCATCCTTCCATGGCAGCTTGTCAGTCWTGTTGGGACATTTCATCAGTCTTCAAGCAGTTTCCATTGGTCATGGATAATGATGACACCTCTACCACAAAACTCCTAAGACCCCCATTGCCTARTAATTCACAGGGGTTTTAGAAATTTCTTCAGGTGGAGTAACACATTTGCTAAGACATCCAGCTAATATGGAAARAAMCCCATACCCCRACCCTACTTGCTACACAAATTKTGGGACTCTTCACCTCAGAGCCCCRTTCTGCTTTCTGAAAGAGGTTAGCAATAGTTTATGCTGGAATAGGCTCTCCAGAATGAGTCCAAGTCTTYCCTCTGAACCTCTGCAAAGAGAACAGGCAAGACTGTTCAATACTTTAAAACCTAACACAGCAAGGTGGGAAAAGGGGGAGAAAAGGTGCGAAATGCAGTAGTCTTTCAGATACTGGCCACAACATGATCACTAAACAACAACTATGTACATCTGGAAAACAACAGGCTCTCAGGCACAGTCAGGRACTGCACCAGTACCTTTTTGTGGGATAGGGTGGCAAAAAACACCCTAGCAGGTCTTTTTCCATCTCAGTCAGGTGTAATAAAAGAAACATACKATCTTCAGATATTCTTGGCACCTACACAGTCATGCTATATCTTGAAATGTGGAAAAACATTATACAGCAGTGGCAAAACATAAGCCAAATTCATACAGTGTTKAGCAAAATGCAGTACTCCCCTATTAACTGTGTCTTCTACGTGAGCTTATGTTATGGTGGWTAAATCAGCATCTCAGTTCCGTTTGGCTTGATTGCTTTCTCCGTTGATCAGGTTCTTCTCTTGCTGCTCAGCTAAGGCTTGCCATTTCTGCCTGTTTTTTCTACAGCCATCCAGCAAAGGGGAGCAGGCCTCTGACACGTGTGTTAGGGCCTGAAATAAATTGAGAACATGGGAAAAAGACAGCGGTCAACTTTTAATTAAAAAATGGAGAATGAGACACATCTCTCATTTTTTTTTTCAGACTTCTGAACTTCGGGGAGGACTTGTATATCATTAACTGCACTGGTTACCTAACACAGSTGCTGGGTACAGTTTGGACTAGTATGACTTGGTAACTGTAGATATAAGCAGCAGTGCCTATTTCAGAGTAAATCATTCCGTTTTTTTCTGGTTTTTTCATAAATGGAAAGGTAAAGCTCTCCCCTGACCAGAAGCATTATAGATGTTCAGGCTTTGGAACTGTGGGCATTCAAGCCTGCTCAGGTGTTCTGTTAAAGAGTTTTCTGTTAGTCCAACCTGTACCTTTGCAGAGACACTCAGTCCTTTCAATGGCCCACCTCGTACTGGAGACAGTTTGCTAAGGCTTCCCAGCAAAGGCTGCCTTATTTTCATGACAGTTTCTGCAGCACAGAAACACTTGATTTTCAGGGGAAGCAGCTCCTAGTTCCCACTCCTTTCTCTACCCCTGTTTCCTTTCAACTCGTGAATGTGCATTCTTTTTAGAAAAGTTTATTGTCTAAAAGGAAAAAGTTAAAATAACYATCCTGTTCCTCCCACTGGAAGATTCTTAAGAGAGGTTATCTGTTCATTTTTCTTTTTCTCACCTCAGTTCCTGTAAAACACTTGCTAAAGTTCCAATGAACAGACTTTCACTCTAATGTTGTACTAGTTAAAAAAGAAATCAGAAATCATTATGTTGTGGTTCACAATATATTTGACCAAGTAGCTTCTAATACAGTTTGTCACCAGAGCAAAAAGCATTTCAATGAATTCTCTCATGTGATACTTTGATGTGTGATGAGAGAAAGAAAAAAAATGGGATAAAATTGTTACACTTGGGCCAATTTCCTRTCCATAGCAAATCACCTTTTCTATGAAGAATTCTGGATTCTTTAAAACTCTTAAACAACACTTGCTATCAATGCACTACCTGGATGCCATTCTTTTCCCAGAGGTAAAAGCATTGGCTTTGTGACATTCCCTGATAATCCAGAATATAACCTAGGGTTGTAATACCAATTGCACAGWGCACAGCAATTATACCAGGTTTAAATAAATTGTAACAAAATACATCAATGAGACAAATATGCCACTAATTATAAATACTGAAATTAAATAATTTTTTCAACAGAATATTGAACCAACTCTAATATATGATACTTTTTTTTTTTTTAACTAAGGTCCAGTTCTTGTTTTGATTTTTATTCTAATTTTGAATCTGTGTCTACTAGTGAGCAGCTCTGGTTTTAGATATTTGTTGTTCTTCCTTAGGCACCATACCTCATACAGCTGTAAACAAACAGCATCTATGAATCCAACCTGCATGCTGGGAATTTTGTTTTTCTTCTCTCTGTTCATTAGATCCTGCAGATAAGAAGTAAACAAGTTCTGTGTTTTAATGCATTAAATAGAAAACCYAACCAAAACCATAGAATCTGGAGTTAAAAAGAAGCACCTTAAACAGCACAGCAAGGTGTCATTACACATTGAAAATGAAGGGAATTGGACTGCATGACTTCCCATTCCCAGGAGATTGGCTTTGGATTGACAGATCCCAAATAACCAAACAGTAAAACTTACCGGGTTTGGATAGCTGCAAATAGGTACCAATTTAGCAATGTATTTTCTAGGCAATTTAGTAATACTGAATTAAAGGAAATAATACTGTCTGTTCTTCTGAATCAGAGATAATGACACACTACTATTATTTTAGAACTACGATAAACTGACTACCAGGAAAACAGGGAAGAAGCTAGTCCTAAAGTGTGGTCAGTGGGAGAAATTTTAAGTGCTGTTTCCAAAAGTTATTTTACAAGAGGTGATTCTGCCACTTACCGTGGGTTCTATGTTGAGTTCCTTCCGCTCCTTATCTCCTTGATCAAAGAACTCAGTAGCCACGAGCTCAGCAATCTGTAAGAAATTTCCCTCACTGAGAGCTCTGCAAATCTCCTTGCTACCTTCAAACAAGACAGTTTCCCATCTCTCCTTAGCTTATATCAAAATGCCTCCTCCAGTTACGAGACTCCAGCTGTGCATTCCACCACTGCCTCTGCCAATAAGGACTGGGTGGAGGAAATAAATTTTTATGCAGTTTGTGTTTAGCAAATCTTAGAAATTAAACACATACCCGTTGCTGAACTGGCCATGGTTTGGTTATKGCTGATAAATCACAAGCAGTCATCAGCATTGCCCTGCAGAACAGAAAGGAATGGGTAAATTACTCTATGTGAAATGTATGTAGGCACCAAGTCAAGAGATTAATAAAACAGAATATAGAATTTCARGGAACATCCAAGTCAGAAAAACAAGTGAAATTAAAGCAAAGTTATAAATGTAACTCCACATGCTACTTAACCAAGTTTATTATACAAGTTGCAGACTTAGTAGTTCACACCCAAGGAATTCAGTGTCCTGTGTGACAGTGCCTGCTTGTACAGGCCCAGAGCACACAAACCTGCTGGGTTTAATGAAGTTCACAGTAGCATGGCATGGAAAATTCAGTACCCAATAACATGAACTGATTTGTTAATTATTCTGCTTTTACTTACAAGAATAGCTCCTTTTGTGAGGGATCTTCCCAATTAAACTGCTTCTTCCTTAGAAGTTCGAAAAAGTCTCCTCTCCTCCTTTAAAAGAAGTTAAAACCAAAGAWTTTGCAGCATGCTGACATTATCTAATAGCCAGTGGTGATTGTCCAGCCAAACTTTCCTGTGACTTACTTTATGTATAGTGCTAGGTCTGTGGCGAGAATGGCTTGTTTTATCATTTTCAGTGTAGCCTTGTATTCCTCAATGGAAAGGCTGCTGAGAATCTGATTTCCCTTTACAAAAAAAAGCCAAAAACAGTGCTATCAGTAAAAGGGCCAACAACACACCAATTTGCTAGAATACCCTTAAGTTGCCAAATCATTATGAATTGCTTGCTGATATCTGATGTCATTCTGTTACCCTGCTTCCTTTTGTAGATTCCCTAGTTTAAAAATAAAAATTCCAGTCTTCTTGAGTAATGGCAAAGAGCCATACAGCATCAGCATCATCACTATTACAAAATGAAACCACAAGCCAGAGCAATATCAAAGCCTTCAACTCCATTTCATTCATTAAAATTAAATTTGTTACTAGTTGTATCACAGCTTCTCTTTCCTCTTCCTTCCCATCCCTGAAGCAGAGGAACTATAACAGATTCCCATACACTCTAGTAAATGAAAATRTTTTCCTTTCATGAAGCAGCATAAGTAACAAGCTCTTAAACAGAAACATAAGCTCAGCAGCTCCCTGTTAAACCAAAGCACTACAGAGCTGGTGAATGGAACTTGCCTCCACTTTTTTTTTTTTTCATATTTGCCTATCTGAATACGAAAGGATTACTACAATACAAGGGATGCCAGAAGTACTACAACCTGTGGCACAAAAGGAGCAATCCTTTAAAAGGATTGTGCATGCCTAACTCGTATTCACAGTTACAGCATCAAATTATAATAACATTGAACAAGAAGAATGTAGTTTTACTTGCATATTTACTTAACTTAGGTTTGGCTTCACTTTGGAATGTCAACATTAGCAGTATTTGGTTTAGTCTCATCAGGGCTGCTTTRTGTATGTGTAGGCTGGAATGTTTTTTTGAAATGAGAGGAAGGCCTTGGGTTTGTTTGTTGGTTCATAAGAGGTCCTGAACATGGCAGCAAAGCCTTTTGTTTCCCTTGGTCTGAGGAAGCAGGTACCCAAAAAGGATGTTTGCAAGACTTCCCTTATCAGGCTTGGAAAGCTTTGGTGGCACTCAGAAACAGAACTGTGATTTCCATGTTGCTGCATTTGCTTTCTTTACCCAAAAAGGAATAAAGAGCACTTAAGAACATATAAGGGTGGGACTTCATCCAGAAACTAAAAATAGAAAGTAAAACAGTTTTCTTCAGCATACACAGGAATGTGRCACTCACTGGACTATTCAGGATCATAAGGCATTGATCAAAATGATGATGCTCCATGATTGAGTGACAGTACAGCTGAGCCAGTGGATGTTCACTTCTGAGGAGTAAAAAGATGRAGAAATCAAATTAGACAAACATGCTACTACTGCAGAAATAACTTCCCTTTCAATGTCCTCTTTGTAGGAATATAGATAAAAAGATAATGCTGTTGCTTTGTCAGAGCAATGACAGCTCTGGTTTTCTGCCTTCTGTTACCTACATAGACCAGCTGCATGCAAGAAATGAGAATGCAATGCAGGGTTTTAAAGGAGTGAAAGTTCTTGCATAAAAAGCAAAGGTAACAAGAAGAGTTTATTCACGAGCAAAGTTTGGGAGATTGTTTCTGTAACCTGTTCTTAAACATCTGCTTGGCATATTTASTTAGCTCAGCTGCTGAGCTTGTAAGAAATAATGCAAACATAATAGGGAACCCACTGATACCAATGGAAAAATTCYTGCTGACCTCAGTGTAATAGGGTGCTGGGCCCAAAATGTTGATCAAGTCATTTCCTAGTGTTAGKAACTGTACTAGTGTTTCATCACCACTATCTTCATGACCAAACTACTGCAACATTGTTACCTACCCTTTGCCCAGGGTAAAATCCAAAAGGTAAACTGCTTAARGGCCAACAAAGATGTTGGTTGTACTATAGGCAGTGAAAAACACCAGGAAACCACTTGTGCAGAACTTAAAAGTATCTTAGACTAGAAAATACAATTTCCTATTTGAGTAGCTTTAGACAAAGTACAGAAACTACTCCTCTCTTAAGGATTTGAAATTTTTCCCTGTTCCTCACTGAATAATACAGTTCTTGTTTTTTGCTGCTCTGTCTTGATTTTCAACCCCTGGGCCCACATTGCTCACGCCATCTCTTCAAATAAATCTGGATTCTTTTGGAAGTCTGTTTTGATGATGACCTATTACTGTAATTATAATCTGACCTACAAATGTTTAATCATGTAAGAAATTCTTTTTTAGCATAAAATTACATGATATTTTCTGTATGGTTGAGGACCATTCACATGACTTAGTGGCTGCAGGATGGGGTCCCTGTGTGAGTGCACAAAGACACAAAAGTCATAAGAGGATACTCTGGGGATTTAAGAAGCACAAAAATGTGGGGAGAAAGATGGAAAGACAAACAAAAACATGGAAAAGCAGATTAAAGGATGCAAGCCTCCGAGGAATATGGGCTGGCTGCCCAGCATCTCCTCTGAGATCACTGCAAAGAGGTGTAGAGAAAAATACTCGTGTGTTTCTGTAAGGAAACAAACTGGAGGATGGTGCCAACACATGCTGGGTGAAATTCCCATTGAGTTAAGTGGGATGGCTGTTCTGTCTCCTAGAGCTCATYCTGACTGGAGAGAGAATTATGTGAGAAATCTCTTAGGTTCTCTTCCCTAGTGCTGCTCCAAACTAGAGCTCACTCAGTACTCACAGACCCTGGCTGGGGCTGGAAATAAACTCAGGTCCCACTTCTGTAGTGGCACTTGGTGCTATACCCCCATGACTTTCTGAGCACAGGTTATGCACCCTTCTGTGCTTCCTACTTCACATGTGGGATTGGAGGGAAAAAAAAACCAAACCCTCCCCTGCATATCTGCCAAAAGGCCTTTAAGCAATTCTCTCTAAGTTCAGCTGCCAGGACCATTTCAATTTTTGAAACCCTGCTGCTTAACAAAAGAATCATACACTAAGTATCCACTCTYCCTGCTTCAAAGGAGGAAACAAAAGGGGTCTGTTCCTGGAAATAAAAACTTTATATTTGGATTTAAATGAGGGATTACCAAAAAAATTATGGAACATTCTATTGAAAAAGGAATTATTAAGCTTTAACCATCTCAGCTTGTGAGCATATGTGAATGTTAGATTCTGCTGTCTAGGACACTTTCCCAGGACATTTTTGAGAGGAGATGACGCATCTCCAGATGTCTTCCAGGAAATTTATTTTTAAGTAAATAAAGCAAAAAATAGCTAACTAGTTCCAATCTGTGTGAGGCTACAGTTACTGCTGGAATCCTCTATCATCAAGCTAGGAAAAGATCACTMTTTCAATTTTGTGGGATTTGTTTTTATTTTCCTTTACACATCAGTCAGTGTTACTCCAAATATAGGTATCTAAAATGCAGGATTTCTGYTTCAGCCTACTTATTTTCTGCCTTTCAGTATTCTTGGCCTCAAGCTTTTCCTTCCCTACTATATTTCTTTACCCATAGAGAGAACAGCRGACCACTGCTTCCACAGGTCACTTCAAAACCATTCTCCAACTCTGCCAGAAAGAGATACAAGTACTGGGGATCTTTTCCTCATCTCTGCTCAGCCCAGGACATAGTGCCATAATCAGAGGAATCACATTAAACCATGCTTTAAAGCCACTGAAGACTCATACATTGTTATTTGAAGTGATACCAAATTTACTGGACTGGGCAGATTTGCAACTACTAACGAATTCTAAAAAACCCAGTATCTTTAGTTAAAAATTGAAATATGGGGGATATTTTAGATTTGTTCAGCTATKTCATTTTGAGAACTTTAAACCAAATATTAGGTTAAAAAATTATTTTTTCATATTTTAAATATATTTTATCTTTTTTCATTGTAAAGGCTTTTCTGTAATTCCAGATTGGATCGAAGTTAACGAGTACAGATAAACCAAAATCAATGCAAAACAGTCATACATTTTTAATGGGATTTTGACTATGCATCTTATACTAAAAGAATTCTGGAAAAACGTGGCTAATCCAAGAGTAAAACCATCCGAGTTCAAAATGGTGGGGAGACACCTCTGTATCAGAGGGCTRCAGATCTCAGTGCTGTGTTGGCCCAGAGGAGACAGGGAACAGCTGGACTGGGCAGGGAGTAATCTGAAAAGCTGCACATTTCCTTCATGCTGTGCCTTGGAAGCTGGGGCCTTTTGCTGTCACTTTAWGSGARAGGGGGGATGGGATTTYGGGAATGGGAGCAGGAAGATGCTGTCCCTGCACAGCAAAGAGTTCACTTCATCTGCCATCCTAGTTAGCAACTGAGGCTGTGCATCTTGGCTTTGGACTTGAGAATGGGTCTGCCTGTTGTTGCAGTTTGTGCTTTGTAAAAACCGGCTCCTCAGCCCCACATCATCAAAGCAATCAGATTGTGCATAATTTAGCTCTGTGCTTTTGCTACTCACTTGTTTCTWTTTGACTTCTCTCAGACTCACTYACCTTTGGATGTAAGAGTTGTTCACTCCCCTATGATCCAGATCATGGCTCAGGGTTGCTATCAGCAAAGCCAGTGTTTCTAAATCAGTCAGTTTGCTCTGTATGCAAAGARTAATRCCAGAAGTGAGTTGTASAATGYRTTTTACATCTGCTTTCTAAATAATGAAACCTGTTCTTTGTCAAGTCAAAAGACAAAAGTCAGTTTGGAAATAATTGATTTTATGTTACTCCTAGGAAGAGGTGTCCCCCAATGCTTGCCTTCCCCCTCAAACTAGAAAAAAAACTGAATTATGTTCAATGCTGTTCAGACTCCAGAATCTAGGACATGAGAATCAGCAGGGAGTGAATCCAGTGTAGTTAAGAATAAACAATTTATGGAAATTGCAGTGGAGACCKCCAGGATTCCAAAAATAGCAGGCAAACTATCAGGATCATCAGAGATTGCTCGACCGCACACAGAGTAAAAACCATCATGTCTACTCCAACAGAGAACAAAGATGAATGCCCTTGCCTTGGTCTCTTTCAGCACCTTTTGTCATTTTTATTAGTGAGACACAGTTTGAAGAGGAAAGAAATGCCTTTTCCTTATTGGTATTGGATTTTGTCTTACAAATAGGATTTATTTATGCTCTCAGAAGTGCTCACTATAAAGTAATATAAACCAACTTACAGCAACTGTCTGTAATCAAACTAAACAAACATGATTATTCAAAATGAACAGAAACATTCTGTTTCCTACAAGAATGTAGAAACAAAACATAAAAACATGTTTTGGAAGAATCTCTAATCAATATCTTACTTATTTTGGGGATCTTCTAGCCCTAATCAGAATTATTAGGTTGTTTTTAAAATTAATACATGTCTTAAAGTGCAAGGTTAAAAATTTGTTCAAAGGCATTGAAATCAATATTTAAGTATTTATTTTTATGTTCTGTTGTTTTTCTAAAGCTGCACTCAGCTCTACAGTTGAACATAAAAAATTCCCTGTTGAATATTTTAAGGAAACATCCTGAAAYGGGGTCAGACTTTTCTTCTCCACCTATTTAACTTACTTGTAGAGAATTCGTCTTAATAGAGGAAAAGGAAAATGTACCTGAATTTTCCCAGATTTCAGAGCAGCAAACATGCACTGTGCTGTRTTAAAGGCATGTCTCCAATTGTGATAAGCAACGTTCTTCCGATAATTTTTCTTCACACTTAAAATCCATCTGCAGAGAACCTTTAAGAAACAGCATCACATAGATTTGATTTCATAAGAAGAGATTTCTAATACATTCAAACTTGCTTAATCCACTTGGAAACTCTCTTGCTGGAAGAAAAATTCCTTTCAACTYAATTTTAAGTTCAAATGTAACCTACTTGTAACTGTGAACATGGATAAGGAYAGGCTTACAACCACTAGTACAGCTCCTAATTAAGTATGTAATACTTGTGGGTTTGGGGTTTTACTGCTAATGGCTAAATGTTGATGTCAGAAACACTGCTGCCAATTCAGAAACTGAGGTAGCTTGGGCTACCTGGGAGAGAAAAATCCTTGTTTATAATGACATATTTGATAGAGAAAATTTATTTAGTTACTTATTGAATTAAGAGCTGTTTTGAAAATGAACAGGCGGCTTTGTCCCTCCTATCAGCTTGTCAAAACCCAAGCAGAACTGGACTTTGGAAAGCAAATATGATAGAAAGATTACTACATTGCYGGGTAGTTTYTTTTTTTTTGCAGGAAGTGAGCATGTCCAGGATGTTTTTACTCAATGGTATTAGAAATTGTGGGTTATACTTTTTTACATGTATAAAAATCTTTCTGCCTACCTTTTTTTCCTAAGGAAGTGACAGATATAAAGGTCAGGTAGCAATTTGATATGGGGACATATTCCGTAGGTTGTTGACCTTACTCAGAGGTGAAATAAGTACTGAGATATTCAAGAGATCAGACTCAGTAATACAGCACTTCTTTTGGCCCTTGAACACTACTAATCTAAATTGATCTATAAACTGCTGATCTGGAAAATAAAAACATGTTTTCTYTAACTAACTTTGCCCATGAAGCCCTACAAATTATTCTTGCATTTTGATATGAATTTCAATGGTTTTTTTTGAAAAAGAAATAAAGTAAAACTCAAGTATTTAAAAATGAAGGTTTCTACAAATAGCTGTTGTGTGCATTGAATGGAAGAGGCTGAAGAGATTATGTATTTGACCTCCAGGGCCAAAACCAAGAATACCTGTCTTGATCACCTTTGAGAGARCCCATCTACAACAAGATGTATTGGTAAAAAACTTCAGGGAAATTCCCACAGCTCACCCTAAGTTAYCYGTTTCAGTCTTTACTATCTCCATARMTACAAAATTGCCCCTAATCTCTAATCTAATCTTTTGTAGGGAAAGAATAAGATAGTTACTACCTCATATAGACATAGAGAACAATGTTATTGTCCCCTTTGTAAGAGTATTTCACTTCCTGAGAGGTTGCTATTATCTCCCTCCTCATTATTGTGTTTTCCAGTCCATTAATCATAAACTGTAAAATTATTCATCCTTCAGTAGAACCAAACTGAGGACAGACCCCAATACTTTATGTATATCCTTCTAGTTTGCTAATAACCCTTTAATAGAGAGGTCCAATTATATTTACTGTGGGATCGTTTCACTACTCTGAATCTCTAATAATTAAGCTRTGTCATTCTGTGGAGCAGTATTTGGCAGCAACCATACCTCATGTTTCATTTGGAAGTTTTGCACCAGGTTGAGGTCTGTGAACATTCGAATTGTGCACAGTGTTGTTTCAAAGTCTGACAGCTCAAAGTCACTGAAGTAGAAGTCAGTCAGGTTGAGAGTTTGTGCAGATGGCACTACAGCMGCCTGGAGAACAATGAAACAACACAACTTAGCACTAAGGCAGAAAAAGCCAAACACATACCTGCTTTTTCAACAGAGAAATTGAAAATGAGATGCTAAATTTTACCTTCATGTGAATGAATCACCAATGAAAACTGATGATTGCTTCTCATTCACTTCCCCTAGCCTTTTCTGTTTAACATTACCTTATTTAACAARCACTTTTCCACAGATCAAGAGAAAAAGGATAAAATTACCTGGTCAATCTGGTTAACTAAATCACCTGAGGCAAATTGCAACCAAAAGTATTGATGAAATTGGGAGAATGAGAAAAGGCAGTGGAGTTATATACTTGTTTTTATCGATGTGTGGACAGCAAAATCTGTAATTGTTGACATTTTTCTAAAAATGGTGAGGAAAGAGATTTCAGTAAAACACGTTTGCTAACAGAATCCACATTCAGCAGGATGGGAGTCAGAACGTGTCCACATGAGCTTCCTCAGGGCTAGAAACCTGAAATATTAGAGYTCATCTGTGCTCAATAATCTTTAAAACCTGTGGGCAGTAGTTGYGGTGCAATTCCCTACAACCACAAACTGTCAGTGTGAAATTTGAAATTACAAGAGATACAACCYTCTTCCCCTCCCAATTCTACATACTTTTAAATCTGTATTTTTAATTATCAGTAATATCTCCATGTATTAAATCCCTTTTCTAGTTATAAAACGCAGAGTATAGGTATTGATTGCCCTTCAAAATAYCAGCATTGAGGTTATGCTAAGTGTTACATTAACTCTTACACCAACAAAATAAATGYTAAGTTTTTTACTACAGAACAAAATTCAGTATCATTTCCTTCCGTAAAATGAAAGATGGAGTTCTCAGTGCCACTACTTTAGAGTTGTTTTACCTCAATATGAGTGTGGTCTGAAGAAATTCAGGTAAATCTGAAATAGTGAAGGAAATAAAACTATGTGTTTRTCTTCCTCTTTGTAATTCTAGAGGAAAACATTTCTCCGTTGTGGGCAGCTCTGTGCCAAAAGGCTGAAAAGGAAGCATTTGACATAATCTACAATATTAGTACATATAGTGTGTAAATCTGTAGAACTATGGCTGCCAGCCTCTGTTCCATATAAGGTTCTGTCCTCTGTGTCAGAATCAGGAAGTCCTGGCAGATTATGAAAAGGAGTATTTACACAGGGAAAAAACTCACCACTCTTACACATTTCTTGTGCCAGTAATTTTGTGTCCCTCGGTTTGGATTCATGTGGTATTTCAGCTATGAGCACATGAAATGCCTGCATATTCAATGGCAAATAATGCAACTGTTCTGCAAAGCTACAGACAGAATTTTCAAAAACTGCAACTGCAGGCCAGTATTTCACAAGGAAAGGGGCTGGAAGGACACACAAGGAGCTCAAAGGAACACCTCAGGCCTCACTTCATTCATAATTTATCTTTTCCTTCCTTGATCTCCTGCCTCTTACAGCCGGAACACTAAGTTTCATCTCAACACTGAGCTGATATAAAAAACCTGCACTCTACAGCAGTTTATGATGTTATTTAACTATATTAGATACTTCCTTTTTCACTTACTGAAGCCACTAGAGCCTCCTGTTTTACAGCATGAAAGTTCATAWGCCATTTTAATTTCACGTTATTGAACTATGGTTTCTGTAAATTCATGGGCAGCGAAAAGGAGGCTATGGGTGGCAACTACAAATGATTTTGCTTTGTTTCATCTGCTTTGCATGGTAAAACGCAGGCTGCAGAATATCCAAGCTCAAAGGAGGTGACTTATGCAATAAGACAGTTCTGTACTATGTGGAAATGATGATGAAAGTAAAAAAATTGACTGCAGCCTATTCCATAAGGCAGATAATGAATAGARTAGTTCCAGTTGGAAGAGCCCTATAACCATGTTCTAGTCCAACTGTCTGGTAATTTATAATCTATTTTCAGATTATTTAGAAGCAGAACAGTGCAAAAAGGTATATCCAGAAACACAATTTTATGTGTTATACAACAGTATGAGTGCAAAAAATTAAAGTAAAAATTTAGAAAAAAATTACATGAGCACTAATAAAAAGGCCTGTCCTTGTGCTCTGCTATCACCTTAGGAGAGTGGTGGTTGACACCAGGACTGTATTAGGAAGCTGTGAACAGTTAAGCCCTGGAAGTGGACACTGCTCCAGTTCCAGGTTTGCTATGGTTGGTTGTTTCTTTGAGCACTAACAAAGGAACCACAAAGATCTCAACCCCTGAAGAGAAACCTTAGGAGAGGTTTTGCATTCTGGTCTTGTCATGGCTGTTTATCCATGAGCAACAGCCTGGTAGGACTGAGGTTCAAAAACCTGACACCACTCCAGAAATATCCTTAGTCTTACACTTTGTTATGTTGCTTGTCCAGACCAGTCCCATGTTACCCAGCTCATGGCCCCCTATGCCTGCCTGCCTKCCTTCCTTTCCCTCCATCCCTCCCATTTGTTCTGGTGCAGCAGGGGTGATGCTGTTTCTCTGGGATACCTGCTGAAGACTCAGAGAAACCAARCACATGCTGTGCTTTGAAATGCTAGCTGTAGTTGTTCTTTAGGAGTGGCTTCTAAACACAGAATTAAACATGAGCAGAACAGAACACTGAACAGAAAAACAACGATAAAAAAAATTCAAAATCACTGCATGAAAAATTCAATACAGAATTTATACATAAGACCATAAAGCTGCACACATACTTGGGATGCTTGAAAGGTACCAAAACTGTAAGGTAAACAACATTCAGACTCAGGTACAGAACAGAGAATTCTCATTATTTGGTTTCTAAAATACTTAATCATGAGTCTGATACTGACATTGCACCAGCTGTGATTGTCTCAGAAGCTAGTCAGAGCATTGCAAGAACCAGACCTGTACTGACTGACTTTCTCTAGAGTTTATCTCTTATTGCAATCTTTGCAATKTTTCCCTTTTATGTTATTGAACTCAGGAACCCATCAGTACAAGCTTCACTACAATTTTGATTTCTGGAAGATGTGCTTGTGCCTTTTTAGGGTTCACATCTGTGGACAGGACTCCTCTCGATAGTTCTATCAAAGGAATATTTCTAAAGTAATAGTAAAAAATTCAATTACCACTGTTACCTGCAGCTCCCTCGTTTCCTCCTCAGCAGCAGAAGCATGGTATGARAGAACCTACAGAAAGAAAAAAGCAGCCCTTAGTACAAACAAAAGAGCAATGTGAGAACAAGGGACTTGTCCTATGGCAGATTTTTCAGCATTCCACTGCATTTGCTGATGAAATCTGTCCATACAGGGCCCATGACAGTTTTAGGGGAGCTCTCTGAATGCATATGAGGAGATATCTGCATCTTTTACAAATCTCGCACTGCACAGAATCTTCTTGAGATAATTAGGCCAAGAAAACGTAAATTGTTTCTATAAAAGAGCAAAGAACTCTGATTTTCTCTTTGGAAAGTTTTCATGGCCCACTTTCAAAGACAAATAATACATGAAATAGCTCTTATTATGAGCCTGACATTATTGCCATAGTARTTATTTCAGGAGTTTATTCAGACATAAAACAAAGCTTTGCCCTAACTGAAATTTGACACAAAAGTCTGAAAGACAATRTATTCATTTTAAATTAAAAGATAAGCTCATATTTTTCAGCTATTGAGAACATATGACATGAAAATGTTATGGAGTTTTGTTTTTTTTTTTTTGGTAAAGTACCCATTTTATACGCTAATCTATAATCTGGCTGGAACTTCCTACATTATTTATAAAGTGTTATAGTAGGAGACAGGATTGCTGGTTTTCCATATAAGCAAATGATTTTGACAATAATTTTGCCTGCTTTTAATTTAACATGACCTAATATAGATTTATTTGAGAGCTGTAATGTTTCTTTTAGAGGCTACAGGGCACATAACCCCATTTTAGGAGCTCTGCAAACACTCTGTTTACATAATGAATATTAGGAGATCCAAAGTCTACACATTTTTCACTTTCAGGTATAACTTATCACCTTTCAGTAGTTCAGCTTCTCAAACTAAAGACCTCTTCAGCTGTTAAACTCAACAGTGACCAGTTCAAAGGCTGGGACCAGATGATGCTCATGTTGACATGGTTTGATGGAGTCTGAGGAAATTGCTGGAAACCTACAATAATGCTGCTGTTACTCCTCACACTGATTTGTGTAAAGGACTGAGCCAAAACRGTCACAAAAACCCTCAGCCAAGAAAAGGCAGCCCCTTAAGCTGCCAAACCATTTCCTCTTCTACGCGACAGAACGCACCCACTGTGTGCAGGGTGCAGCATCACAGAGAGGAAAAGCTGCCTCCAGCTCCCCACTAAATCTCAGGAGTGAAGTTAAGACAGAATACCAAATTAAAGAGTCTGCTTTCAGAGTCAGAAACACACAGAGAATTCCTGAGCAGCTCAAGAGCCCAGTGCTGTTCTCCTGAGGGAGAACAATCTCTGTTCAGTGTCCCTGTGAGTAACTGATAAATGTGGCCAACATTAGGGTCTGTTGGGGGTTAATTAAGGACCACCTAGATTTTGGACTCACCTCTAATGTCACCATCTGTTTGGCCATGGCTCTTTCTACAGCTTCATACATCTGTGTGTTCTGGATCCCCAGGCCACAAAAGATGACGAACGCTTCCAGGAACTCCTCATCGTTTCTGTTAAAAGCCTTGATTTTTCCTGAGTTTTCTTCCATCTTATTCACAAGCTGGCAAACCCCTGTATTGGGACACAGAAATGAAAGGAAGTAATACAGAGAATTGCCAACATATTGTATCAGGAATTAAGTTTGGGACAGTTTAGCTTACAGTATAAACTACCAATATACCTAAATGACACAGGAGTGCTATATGATTTACCTTCTTCTTTTTCAAAAGTAATTTCAATGTATTACAAAACAAATGTTAAAATATTATAGACACTTAGTAAATTCAAAAGTATTGATTAGAATTTGTAAACCAAAAATGCAGGGCTTTAGGGACTTGATTATCCTGTGAAATTCTAGGGTCRTTTTCATCCTAACTTTTAGTATTAATAGTATTCTAGATTGATTTAATCCCTAMAGACAATTTGTCCTTTGGAAGCTAATTAGATTTTGCAACCATGCCAAAAGAACATTTATGAAAGTCAGAACAGTGGTACACAGAGTTTTCGCTTCCTTATTTGAGTCAGTASCAGGATTTTTTTCAAGTAAATGATCTAAACATGGAATACCCAAGTTGAGGTTCAAAGCTGAAGTACATTCTATGAGGATGTGGTTGAATTACAGCCTCTTCCAAACATTACTGAACTCCTTGAGAAGCATCTGACTAAATTCAGGTTCAAACTGGTTGATATTTACACCTGTTTATTTTCTGTTAAGAATTTCTGGACTTTCTGTGCACATGCCATTGACAAAGTCTGATAGGCAACTTCTACCACACCTTGCTGCATCTTAAATCCTGACACAGAGGGGAATTCAGACRTGAACTTGCCCTTAGTTTTACCTGCTAAGAAATCWRAATATTAATTAAAGCAGCTGTACTRTGAGAATATCTTGTCTTTGGCCAAAACTGCTTTGGTGGTGATTAATGTCTTAAAGGAGTCCAAATGTTTCTCACTGCCAGGAATGTGAGAACTAACGGTTTAGAGCATAAAAGCTGCATTTTCCTGGCCAAGTGTGAAGATATCCCAGCTGTGAATTAAAAATTCTGAAAAAAATTGCCATGTGTGCATCTTCCCCATTACAGCAGATAATAAAACTGAGGAAAAGAATGCAGCACATACATGCAAAGCAGTTTTAGAACACTGGCCTCACAAGTAGATGTTTGCATGTCTGGTAACAATGTAACACTGTCCTGTTTCCAAATGATATTCTCTTTGGGGAATTTAAGAGTCTCCTCTAAAGAGATCAGTAAAACCATTATAGCTGTAGCTGTAAATGTAGCTGTAGCAGGGATTGGTGTATCTGAATATGGCAAGCAGGATTCCTAACCTTTATGGAATGAGATGAAATGGAATAGATCATCAAATCACAATAAAAAAAGAATCCCATCAAATAAGCCTTCATTCAAATAAGGAACAAGATGAACTTTCTCTGGGGAAAAAAGAAGCTGACATGAAACTCTTGAGGAAAATCCCATGAAACTGACTTTCAGAACTCTGTTTAGCACAGTTTATGACATTATAATTATTTCCATAGCAACTGTGATGTAATGAACACAGGATTAAGACCTATCAGTGATTATGCCACAAAAGTAAATGAATTCTTTGCAGACACAGTATTTGCACATATACGTCTCTTAAAAAGTTAGACAACTGCAGTGAATGTATTGTGCATTACTTTAGACTCTTTAACCTCTTTCAAAAACTTCCCCAAAGCACTGAGAKGTCCATTGATGACAAATAAAGGAGCTCAAAAGTCATTCACAGGAACATAGTTATAAAATCACAGCAAGATTCTGTAAAGCTTTTACCTCATACCTGAGAAACGCACAAGTCAGGAGAACGAAGTTTTTTTTTTATATTTCTTGCTACTAAGATTTGCTTGGTTTTGATGTTGACAGTTTTTTCCATCACCCATACCACTTCCCAATTTCTAGGGCTTTTTTTCCAGTTTTTTTCCAGTTTTTTTTAAAATTGTTTTTAAGAGTATTTTACATCTTAAAAATATTTTTTTAAAAGAAACTAGACTTCTAATAATAGTCATTTATGCTACATAGAATGGTAAAAAAACTTCTGGGTATTGTCCCAAAGACAACTTCTTGACTTTGTCCTATAAAATAATTGAACATTAGGCAGCTGTGAAACCATGAAAGACTTCAAAGAGCATTTCGCAATGAGAATGACTCAGATTTGAAATGCCCACCTGAATGGGTGWCCTGACTGAAATTTTCAGTTTGAACTTCAATAGAAAATCTCAATAGAAAAAAAGATCCCATGCAACTGTTTTATCAATAGCTCACAGCATGGTGAAATATCTCTAATTAAAGTTCCACAGTTCAGTCTTCATCTAGGTCTTTCAGGGTTTGCTGGAAATTATAAATAATAAAAGAATTCAGGAAAAAAGCTAATAGCAAAAGAAATTTCAGCAAWCTCCATTGGATAAAGATGAAATTTGTCTTACTGCTTCAGAGGTTAAAAAAAACCCCTGTCTTCACAAAAAAGGGACTTCATATTTACTCTATAAATTGGRCCATGCAGTTTTGCCATAATTCTGAAAGAAAATTATTTGAAGACCATTAAAAAGGCATTCTTGGAACTCAATATTTACTTGCCAGATTTTTTAAAGGTGAGGGAATTGGATTCATGCTCCTATCTAAGGTTCAGTATATTTTGCTTTCTGTTTGCTTGTGGATCTTACTGGTGCCAGGAACACAGGCTGACACTTATTCTACTCTTTGGCAACTTATTCGGTAAGAAATTTATACTCAAGGTGCAGTAGACCTATTAGATGAAAACAATTTTATCTTCTCTCCCAGCTTGAGATTGAATGTTGCTGTGAATTTACTGTGGAGCACATAAATTTATCTATTAAATGTATAACAGTATTTTTGCAGAGATACCTACCTATCACTTTATTCTTTTTCCCATTTTTTATTGGTGTACACAGCAAACTCTTTATGYTCTGGCTTACATTTTCTGCATTGTCATTCTGTTAAACAAACAGAAAAATACAGTTACAATTTTAAAAGCTCTTGTTCAGCTGGCTGAAGTGAAAAAGCTGTAGAGCTGGACTCAGCTATTCTTGGCTTACATTCTCCTTCAAAAAGCAACCACTTAATCAATGAGTTTGCACACAAACATCAGGCAGGAACACTACTACAGCTAGGTCAGCATTCTGCACTCTTCCCCAGACTTGGCATCGTGTCTCATGCTCCAGCAAAAGGAGACTGAATTTATCTGGGGAGTGGATGGATGGAACAAAATACACAATGTCTCTTTTTCAAATACCTGGTGAGAAAAGGCTGTAGTTCTGCTCTGACTGCTCCAGGAATAATGTGGTAGTTGTTGAGAAGTACACGTGGTCCAATCTCTAATTGTATGTGCCCAAAAAGATGGGCACGCACTAATATTTCTGCTCAAAAGCTTGATGGGCACATACTAATATTTCTGCTCAAAAGGTTGTTTTGGGTTTTTTTGGTTTCTTTTTTTTATATTATTGCTGTGTGATCTGGCATTGTGCAGGGAGTGTAGAGAGTATGTTGGCAGGATTTTCATGAGGTGAGTAAGAATGCTGTTGAATGTCCTCCAAAGAAAGAGCAAGCCAAGGTTTCTAGGGCACTGGGAACACCTGGGATTTCCCTCATGTCAGGGTGCATCAGCTTTCCAAACATTTAGGCTACAGCCCTGCCTTGAGACAGCTCCTATGCAGTCGTGCAGGTGCAGTCACTGTTGGTAGAAAACATTATCCAGAATTCCTTTTAACAGCACCATCATTTTCTTTTTATGAGTTTCTTTTACATGCATAAGATGTATTCCAGGAAAAAAAAAAAAGAAATCCAAGTAACTCTAATCCTACTGAACAAGMTGTTTCAGACAAACAGTTGTTTGGATGATTCTCAAGGTATTCATTTTATTTTTAAATGTCTTCAAAATAATCACCTCTTTCTTTGTTCATCTGTATAGTAATCCATCGGATTCTGTCTGTACTTCCAGCCCTGCAGTTAAGTCTGAGAATTCAATTCCTGTGCTTGCTCAATGCTTCACAGAAACACACATCCAAGAAACATTGCACAGAAAAAAAAAAGGGAAGCCTCACAGCTCCCCACCTTGAGTCTGCCCTTTCTTTCCAGTTACTGGAACAATCACACTGAGCATTCTCTTTTCTGATTCTTTTCTGCATCTCAGAACAAATTTTGGTAAAAAGCCATCTGCTGACCATAGTTACTCCTCTCCCTCTCATTACCACCTCACCAACATGCTTAAACAAAATAGTAAGAGCAGACATCTTTCTAATTTCTGCATTGAAAATACAAAATTAAAAGTTTGCTTTTTGTTGATGGTGGCTATGAAGGCAACCTGACTGCAACCTGAGCCTTGCCAAGTGACCTTCCCTGCTCACTCTCTGATATCCATGTGCTCCATCATCCACCATACAACCAACTCACACCTGAGCAAGTGTTAGGCAAAAGCTCCCAAAGAGAAGTGAAGCTGATCCATSTCCACTCCAACAAACAACATCCATTTATAACATTCATCTTTGCAAGGACAAGAAAGGAAATCTGAGAACCTCCCAGCACTCGCTGTGCACCTTCCTTTGTGTTTGTGTCATTCTGACTGGGGCCATTACATTGACAGTAACAATAAAAACCAAAAAAGATTGAAAGGGAAGCAGAAGAAYATTTTCCATTTCTGAATTTCAAATCTAATCTTATTTCACTTACTGTCCATGGAAATCTTCTGTCTTTGCAGACATCTGGGATGTTGAGTGGCTCCATCGTGTTCTTGACATACTGAGCATACATGTAATTGATTTTGTTTGTGTCATAGTCCCTGAAGGATACAATATTTTTATTATCAGCATAAGAAAGTAATTTCATTATGCCAGCACTTTGGACATCATTTTCTACATACATGGGRTTAAACTTAATATAATAAATATTTGCTGCAAAACGACATCAAAGGGGCTTGGAAAATCTGCTTCCTCCCTGCACACAGTATCTGTAGTACAGCATTTTATATACAACTGTGTCGCTTTCTGACAGTATTTGAAACAACTGTTTTTGATGAACAGAGACAGTAATTTTCAAGTTTCAATACAGAGATTCAGGCTAACTTTGTAAATTATTTAATCTGTGTATTTTAGTTCAGCTTTTAGCTCTCTCTTTTCCTGCCAGCTGAGCTCCTTAATGGTTTCTCAAAGATGAGTGAAAGTTGGAACTTTAGGACTCTAATCTTGATTTAGACAGACATGTTATTTGAGTCATCTTCCTTATCTATCAGATGAGGATAATGATTAGAATAATTGATTAAAAGCATTACTTTGGTTATTATCTTCTAATTTACATATGTCTTCTCTGCAACAYGCAGATTTCTTTCAGATCAGTTTTAGAGCAGTTCATCTGTGTATTTCCATAGCTTAGCCTTGAAATACAAATATGTCCTTAGACTGGCGAAGTGAAAAGATCAGGCCTAACTCCTGTTCTGCTCAGTGGGAACTTGTTAAGGCTAGAGAGTTWGTCTATGCACTATATATATGTCTATACTTCAGGGAAAAACATATTGTAGAAAAAGAGCAGCRATACCTGGGATCTAGCAGAAATAAGTGCTATTATGAAAAGATTATTAAAAGCAGTTTCTTCAACATGGTGGGATGAACAAAGTCTGAATTGATTGGTTTACCTCTTCAGATTTTCAGCTGATTCTTCTAATTCCTCAGATTCCATGTGAAAGACACTAGAAAATGTATCCTGGAATAMCAAGAGGATGTTTGAATACATAGGAGTACAAGGTTGTCATAATTTAGAGTAGTGTTACTCATTAAAACCTTGCCGCAATTATCAAAACCTATTCTGTACTCATGTAAAATTATTCAGCTTCATTTCACATCTATCATCAAGCATACCAGATCCTACCACAAAGCTATCTTTTGATAYAATTTTAAATATCACTGAAGTGTCTTCAGTCTCTGCTGATGACCCAGAGAAGAAATGCCAGTATTTACAAGCTGTGCCAAATTTATGTGGCAGCACAGAAATTCTTTAATTACACAAGACCAAAACCTCCCAGGCCAACACCCAGCCTGAGAAGATGTCATGAAAGAAAGGACAGAGGATGAAAAGACAACAAAATACACAATGGGACAGAAATACCACTGAGTCAGAGTGGAAGGAAGCCCACACCACTACCAGGGAATAAACACTTCTGCCTTCAGACAAAATAAACATACTCACRGGACAATCTTCATCCACTATAAAGATGGTACACCTCTGCACCTGCATGAAGGATATGATAGTGGCTGCAATTTTCTTCAGGATTACTTCCAAAGACTGCTGCTCCTCAAAAATCAGGCTGGCAAGGTCGAGAAGCACCTGAAGAAAAGGTCATTTGTGAGGGTTTGACTAATTGTGATTTATGCAGTAATTATCATTACTGATGTCTTCCCCTGAATTAGGGAAGCCAATGTGTATGTCTGTGACCAAAATTAAGTTTTGGCTGTCACACAGATTTCAAGGTAACAGCCAATATTAGCCAGTTTTAGTCTTTTTATGGAAGAAATAAAGAGCACAATTAGCTGTCTGATGCTTTCAGTCAGAGATGCTGATTAGATTTAGGATTAATAGGTCAAATGAAACCTTAGAACTCCAGACAACACAGCTGCATGTCCTTAGGAAACCTAATAATTTCCTATGGCTCATGTGTACATTCTCAAACCGGTAATATTTCCATTTTCAAGACCTCTGCACACAATTATTCTCTTGTAATTCTAACAGATCCTAATGAACTAATTTGTTGAAAACATTGTTTAGACGTTGTATTTCAAAGCTGCTGTTGAAGGACTTAACTGCTCAGATGCTCTCTTTTTTTCCTTACAAGAAACATGAAGGCAATTTTAAAAACTAGCCAAACTTGTACCAATTTGCCAACACTGATAGTCACTTGGAAGCTCAGACCTACCAGGAAATATTTAAARCAACTGCTGTCCTGTCTTTTCTCTGAAACATTATCACATCATACAGGGCAGGCACATTCATCAATAAAGGCCATGGCATTAATAACACATCAGTTAGAAAGCTGGCTGCAAAGCACAGCTTTTGCAATCAGGAGGAAATGCAGTTTTCCATCTGATCATTACTGAAAATACTGTTAGTGATTGTCAAAGTGGTCACAGCCTGAAAAAATGGTCTGTACTCTGCAGGGGTGATTCTGTCTGTAATTTCCAGAGTGTGCCACCCCTGGYTGTATAATGCATACAGTGAAGCACAGGATAACATCAGGCAGTATCAAGTATTTTCTGACACACAGCTTCACCTTCTKTCCCTACATGGGCCACCTCTCCCAGCCCAGGCTGGAATGTGCCCAGCTCCTTCCCAGTGCAGTTCATGAGAGCTTCAGAGACACACAGCATTCAGTCACAGGGATTAAAAGCAGCCAGGGAATAACCACCACACCACAAACAGGAAGGGGAGGCACCGATTACTTGCAGACCCTCAATAATTCTGTATCCGTGGGACAAACCTGCTGGCCCTACCTGATTGCGCCTGTTCTCCAGCAGAGACGTCTCGTACAGCTGAGCGTTGTGGAGAACAATTCCACAAAATGCCAAATATGCAGCAAAATCCTGGAGACAAATGAACATGAGCACCTCAYGGAGATAAAGTCCCACAGCATCTTAACTCTACCAAAAATAAGCTACTGAAATGTTTTGTTTTCATTGTGAAGTATGAATTGATATTTTTGTTATTTTTGGCTACCASACATTTAGGGTCTGAGTTTTTTTCAGTTACTTGTAATTTCTTATTTCCTCAAGAATCCCTTCTCCTTTTTTTTAAGCTAAACTCTGAAGATCACTATCTTGTTACAAGCAGGGTTCATCTAAAAAGCAGCTTGAAGGAAAAAATAATTTTGYGGCAATTCCCCTCTGAGGGAATTCATTCTCTTGGGAAGTGAAAATAAGAATTTGCTAACATAGCAATCCCACAATATTTTCCTCATTCAGTATGGGATTAATTCTGATAGYCTGCAGATACTCCGTGTGCATTTTGTTTTAAAGGGGGAGTTTTCAAAGAGAAAGGGTGTATTCTGATTCTTTTATTGCTGATTGTTAAGTCAGCTTCTTCAGCCTGAGCACAGCCTGGTTTTTGCCCACCAATCTGAACGTCAAGTCTGGAAATTTTGGAAAGCAACTGCAATGTGAGAATTAGAAATCAATTCTACTGTCTGCTCTCCTGATTCTCACATTTATTGTTCATAATTTATCTGAAACTTGTTCTTTTCCTGCAAATGCTGTGTTGACAAATGACATAGTATTTTAAAAGAGAACCACTCCACAAATTTTAATATTCAAAATGTGTTTGTTGGGCTTGCYAGGAGAGTTAGAACCAATTAATTAAAAATTATGTCCATTAAAAGTGATGAACATGTTTTACAATGCATTTCAGTAGAGCAAGTCTGTAGTTCAGAAATATATGACAGATAACATGATCCAGAAATTATTTCACATCCACATTTCTCATGGCCTCATAAAGAAAAAAATTGCCGTATTACCAGGAATGTTTACTTTCTCAGAGACGTTTAATTTTTTGATAACTTAAAAAATTATGAGCAGCAGGAAAATTAAAAACATATTCACCCCTCCCTTCCCCTATGAAAACAGAATATATAAACATCCAGCTTTGATACCTTTTCATCYTGTTCAGTGAAAGTGCCACCAATTCCGGATTTCTTGTTGATTGCTTGAGCCACACCAACAACCTAGTGCATTCAAAATGGAGAAATTAGCTAATTTTTAGGAGTCTGTCACTGGGTTCCATTTCTAGGCATATTTATATAAGATAATAAAGTATCATTACAAGTACTTTCAATTTAAATTTTTAGGATAAAAAAGGTTTATCTCTCATGCATAAACATTCCCTAAATTATAGGATTTCAAGACCTTAGCCTTTCCCTAATATAATTCTATATGTTTCCATTCCTTTTGAGACAAAGTATTATTAATGTGATTTACAGTGTATGCCAAGTTTTTAGCTATTTTCAGATTTTTTGGGATGATTACAAGTGATAGAAAAAGCTGCAAAGAACTTTCTTTGTTTGAGGTCCGAGTAGTGTAAAACCAATGCAAGGTGTAATGATGGTGGTTTTTYCATCTTGCTTTTTTAGGATATACAGTATCAGAGAAGCACTGTGGTGGGCATGTTGAAAAAATTGTGTTTTGCTATTAATGGTTAAAGTTRTAACTGCTAAACTAATGGAAGACGTGGGTTTATTTTTGTAATGGAAAAGAAGACAATTTACTATCTCTCAGCCTAGCATTCCCAAAATACTGATGCTATAAGGAAGGTCATTGTTCTGTAGCATGAATCGCTGCCAACTGTGGGCTCAAAAATGTCTGTCTGAAAAAAACACTTAATTGTCAGCTCCATTCCATACAACCCRATTTTTCCCACAGTCAACTTCTTATTTACTTCAGTAAGGAATATTTCTCATCCACTGAACTTCCTTTCTGTAATAATAATGCACCACTGGCCTATATAATTCTCTGGCAGGCTTTGAATGAAAGCAAATCCCTTAACCAGTTATTATGCTTTTATGTTAACCTATATGTGCAGAGGTTAATGGTTAGACCTCTTCCCATGCCACTATCTTCTCTGGGTATTAATTTTTTTTTTCTGTTCTGATTCAGCATAAGCTAAGACAACTTCAAGGAAGCCAGAGGCTTATCATCCAAAAGGTGAGTACTTTCATGTTTGTTGTTGAAATACATCCCCTCCAGGACACAAAGGCTGCAATGCTTAAAAAAGCTATAAGAAAACAGTAAAAGGACCATATTAATACAGAAAAAAAACCCTCAAATTATTTAGGCTCCTTTTATCAGCACTGCAGGTTTCTGATGCATTAACAAAAGGAGGGGTTCCAAGAGAAACGGTCAGTTTTACATCATTTATAAAGTCTTTCAATAAAAGGTTTTAACTGAAGAGGGAGAGAGTAATGAGGAGAATAAACCTGCTAAATATTCATATTGACTCAGTTAGGGTAAGAATTTTGTGCATATGCAAATCTGTCTCTTTTTTTGCTGCTGTTTCAGTGGCGTTCTAAACTTTCAGACAACTTCCTATTGTGCMCTTTTTTTCATACCAAATGAACAGTTTTAAATATTAAATTGGTCCAAATTCTGGCCTCATTTATGTATGGTGTAGAGACAGTAATGAGAAAAACTTCAGACAGGTATTTTTTAGCCATTGGGGTCTTGCCTACAACCAAGTAATTAGGAGAAGATGGAGGAAACTCGAGAGGATCTGCTCTTGTTACTGAATTATGTAATTAGGACACAAGTCAATCATGTGGTACCATTTTGGGCCATGGAGAACATATGCCTGCATTTTAGTGAATACTAAGTACAGTATGAACCCCAAATCCTCATTTTTAATACTTATTCTAAACAAATCAGAAATAACAATAGGCCTGGTCTGTGATGCCCAGCTGGGAGTTAGGTTTGCACCAGCCATAAAACTCAATCACAGGTGACCAACTACTCTGAGCTCAACTACACAGGGAACTAAAAAAATTAAAATGTTACTCTGGGTGAATAAAACCAAGAGTGAGGGAAAGATTGAAGTGATTAGGATCTGCTTATACTTTGACACCTGTGGGTTTATGGCCTAATCACTGAAGCAAGCAGTGTTCTGTRGAGTGCTACACACTTATTTTCCTGAGCTTTCTCCCAGTTTGAGTAGGCAGGTGGGATTATAGAACATACGATCTCTAGAGGAGTCCTGCAGCTCCCAACAAGAGCCTTCTGCCAGGTTTGCTGTTTGCAAAGTGTGTAAGAGGTGAGCAAAGAAAATACCTTTGGATCAGAAACCAAGTAATTCGCTATTTTCAGTCAGATCATACATTCAGACATACATAATGAACACAAAAAGCAATTTTGATGATGGAATTGTTGCCTTACTTTCAATCCCAAAGAAGGAGAACAAAACTTCCATCAATTACTGAGTCAAAACCCACACATTTTTTACCACATCTGAACACAGATTTCCTGACTCCCTTCTTGCTGCTAACACAGGTGATTTTCCAGTGCTTGTTCTCAAGCCTTTCTTTTCTGTCTGTGCTACTTTTCCAATTTAATAAATCCCGATCCACATTACAAGAAGAAATTTCTCCTAATTATCAGAGAACTTAATTTTCCTATTTGCTAGCAATAGCTGAGTCCTGTCTCTAAAAGTAGCARGCTACCTTGAGTCCTTCCCAGTAAGTGATGACGGATGACTTTGATGCTGTTGACTGTGCTCTGGATTTTATCTGGCTTATTTCATGCTGCAATTTTTCGCACATTAAAATTACAGGCCTAACTCTGTGAAAGCTGATCCAGCTCTACCAGCAGCTGGTGCCTTTTTTAGTGGGTTCTTACTTTAGCTGACTTAAAAACATAATTAACTTTGCTTCTTAAGGAGATATGTTTTGTATTTAATTTGTTGGCACCTGAAGAAAAATCACATTGAAGCCAAAGACTGGTAACTGAAAATGGGAAACATGACATTTTTGATAAGAAAACATATCCACTTGAGAAGACAAAGTGGTGTAAACCTTACTTTGCTCTCCTGGTTTCGTAGAGGTTTGATTCAAGCTTATAAAATTATCCTGCAGGGACAGAACTGTATTTACAGACTTCCCTTTTTAATCGACAAAAATTTCCCATCCTCTTCTATCATTCATGCCAGCAGTAGCCTCCACGCTTTGCAGCAGTCTAGCTACTATAATGTGTGTCTCAGCATAAGCTGAAAATCCATCCAAGAAGCAAATTACTGATCTCCATAATCCTGCAGCAAGACTGCTGCTGGAACTRAGCGAGTTTGTTTAAACACAGCTTGGCTAGACCTGCTCTGCACTGCAGTGATTGGGATGTGTGATAGCTGAAAGGTTCACTGGGGGAGAAAATAACTTAGCTGGCTAACAGTGACATGCCCAGTCCCATTTTACACAATCAAGTTCAACAGAGTATTTTCAAAGGCTGTTGTAAATAGTCGCACCTCTGATTTGTTAGGAAAGGCTTCCCAGCAACAGGAGATAGGGCCAAGTAAACAGCAAACCAAACAAATGAGTGAGCATTGCCAGGAAAAAAAACCCAACATTTCCCTAGGAAATTCAGTCTTACATACAGCCTGGGAGAGAGGTATCAGTTAATTCAGCTAAAAGCTCCATATGAGAAAATCCTACAGATTTTAGTACAAATTCAACTGAGATTGACTTTTAGGCAAATTATTATGCACAACTCAAAGGAAAAAAAAGAAGGAATAACAGAAAACATTCCTGGATGTGTTCTACAGTACCTGTGGTGACTCTGTGCTTCAGAAAGCATCCATTCTCCAGGCATTCCAAACCTGTTGGAGTGCTGTGCTGAGTCTTGCATCAGCTCTGGAGTGCTCCACAGGATGGTTTAAGCTAAGGAATGGAGTAAGGACTCCTATTTCCTTTCCAGTCCTGTCAAAATGACTTTGTTTACAAATGTCTCCAAAACCATATGGGGACATTCGAGGTGATCATTATTTGCAACAGCTTCTGTAATGTTTTTCCATGTCCGGAATCCAAGACAAAACAGGAAAAAYGTGCCACTGCACTTACTGACTTGACAAGAGCTCTAGAGAGTAAATCAGTACCTTTTGGAGCTTCTGAAGAATTAAAGGCTTGAGGACACAGCAAGAGTGAGAAGATGCTTTTTGAGATYCACAGTGCTGAACTGGCCCACATTTGGGTCTTCTGCCAGCAGTGTACGGCCCTGATTTCTGAAAAGCCCCATAGCACTGGAATGGTTCACAAGGACAGCTCAAGCTAAAGCCTGGTGACAACAGCACCAGTTTCCTCCTGCACAAGAAATAACCATGTAACTCTGTGGTACAAACTGGCTAATAATAACTTTTCATATGTGTATACTATTGAGGATAAAAATTCAGTGTGTTTTGAAGGTTTTGCTGTGTTCTGATAAACATCAATAATCCAAGCAGCACCTCCTAGCTACTGATGTCTAGATAACTGTATACAATTCTCTGCTCTGACAGAAGAATCACCAGAAGAGAAAATCTGATCTTACATGACATGATCAGCAGAGTTTTATGCATCTGAAGTGCAACATATCTGCAGCATTTCTRTCAGCAAGAATAGGTTGAGCAGGGGATTAAGAAAAGTTGTTTTAGTATTAAGCAGATGTAATTCCGTTCTTCATSTGCATTTGTGCAAAGGTAAAGTTTTAGTGCACTGCAGTGTCTCTCATTGTTGCTAATTCCTGGGTCCTGTCTGGRAGCTCTTCTGTGAATCAAATTGTTTTCTTTTCATTTATGGAATTTCTTACTAGCTGTTATTTTTAAATGAAACTTTGGTTTCTCACATGCCTCGTGGAAATATAGGCAAATGTAAAAAACATCTACTGGAAAAATCTCCGTACTTCAGCAGGCCCAGAGGATTTAGAAACCAGCATGAGATTTTCCTCCTCTACGTTACTGACTCTTTTGTTTTAAAAAAAATAGCACTAATACTAAACAAACAAACAGAAAGCCCCAGTTGCTTCTCTTTCTCACTGTTCATTTTTGGATGACTTCCAGAATCATCTTTTCACTGTGATTGCTGACATCCTGGGCTAAGGCAGCATTCATGAATGTCAGTATTTCTAGAGGGGCTTTGGKATTTTTTCAATTTTATCTATAATTTATTTTTGTTTAACAGGGAGGAGCCATWATTCTGGTTTTGTTGTTTGGGGGGTTTTTAAACAGAGAAAGCAGCAGAATGCAAATGGAAAATTAATGACAGATTCACTGACTCCAATGTCTCTCCAAAAACATGTCAGTCATTGGTTATAGCAAGAGTGAGAAAAACCTTCTGACAGAGACTGTAAAAATGTGAAAAAAATTAGGAACTGCCATTCTTTCCTGTAAGTCTTACAGTTTAGCGCCTTCAAATTATTGCATACGAGTGTAACACTCCTCAAACTCCAGGTTGGCTGAACTTGTCCAAATAAACAAATTCCTGCTTCATTTCCACTCATTGATGCTCTCAGGAGGAGGAAGCTGGCTGAAGACACGGCCCATTGCAGGTTTATTCAGCCCTTAAGTCATGGTGGACTGGACAAACAGACTGCAGCTCCTATTCCTTCCCCACCCACCACTGGGACCTGGTGAGAAGTGAGCACTTTGACACTCCTCAGCCAGCAAGGCTTTGTAGCTCATTTCTGTTCCCAGTTCCACAAGGCGTATCATCTTTTTCCATTTGTCAAAAAACAAATGGGATGGCTTGGGTGAAACTGAAAGCCTTGCATCAGCCTGACATGGACCCCTGATCCCTGACAGCTCTTCACACAGCATCTGCTTGGCTCATCCACTGCCYAGGGCCAGTAGTGGCTGCTGCCAGGTAAAAAGGGGAAGACTTTTAAACAGGAGTGGGAGAAGGAAAGCATCAAGTGCTGGCCTTGGAAGAATGGAACAAAATAATTTAAGCTAAATTTTTTAGCTAGTATTTCCTTTCTTCATGTACTGCTGCTCTGGTCAGCTAGATTATGATTCAATAAGCAATTTAATTCAGGAGTTTAATCTATTCATTTAATTTGAAGAAAAGGTTCAGTGCAGTTAAAGTCAAGGTGACCATCTACAAGAGGAGTAAAAGATGGAAAAGTAGAAAAAAAGAAGGTATGCTGTGTTCCAGTCAATCATAGCAACATTTCTTTTGGGGAGTTGGAGCTTTCTGGAAACAAACTATAAATGCTCTGAAAAATAAATGAATTCCAGGAGAGAAAATCTCCATTTCAAAGCTCTGACACACTCTATGGAGAGCCATACATTTTGTCAGTATGCTAAGAATTGGTGATGTGGCTGAAGGCCATCAGGATCAAAGAAAACCCAACCACACTTTCCTTACTCTCTAAGTCAAAGAGCACATCTCACTTTTTTCTCCATTCATTGGCTTTCATGGACTTCATTGAATTCACTCATCAAATACTCAGGGCTGATGTTGTTAGTCCAAAATAAGAAACAAAAATAAGAGACAGGATGAGAGAGCTCCGATGAGAAGCAGCATGGACAGGAAATACGGACAAGAGTTCAATGAGCAGATTCACATTGTTTTAAATTAAGAGTAATTTAAGTTATGACTTGAGGATGACCTTCCTGGATCACATCGACACCATGTGTTTTTCAATGCCTGATGTCAAGCACTTAGCTCATAAATAATAAATTTAAAACCATGTTGAGCTGAGAGAGTGTAAAAATAATCAGGTTTTTAGACAATGATAAAACCCAGTTTGTGCCCTCTAAATTAAGCAATATAGATACAAGCTAAGCTGAGCTACAGTAACTTAATCACAATTTGAGATAGACCAATAAAGGTGCAGAGAACTTGAATGCTGACAGATACTGAGCACAGGAAGCAGAAACAGCACTTCCAGAGTTAAATACATATATTCTACTGCTGCATCTGGGATTAAACTCTTCCTGACAGTTCCCTTTGGCTTACATTACTGAGCTAGATAAGATAAAATTGCAGTCTAAACAAACATAAGCAGTCTTTTAAAAAAAAAGCAAAAGATGGTTTTATACTGGAAGATGATGATTGCCAGCTAATGAAAGTTTAAAGTATCAGCATGGCTGGGAACAGTATTACATGAAATGATCCAAAGATTGCAACTTACCTCTTCCCTGTGATTCTTTATTGGCATACAGAGAATGCTCTGAGTCTTATAACCCGTGATCTGGTCAACTTCTGCATTGAATCTTGGATCCTAATACATGAAAAATATTATTATTAAATTGGTTGCCTAAAGGCCAGTTGGTCTCCTTTGGTTTAYAGATTAAGGAAAGTTGAATATTTGATTTGACTGTTACCCAGGATAACAATGGTTCCATTCCTTGCCAATAATTATATAAAGTCGTTACTATCAACATGTTAACAACAAAAACCCATTTCTGTGGAACATGAGTGCCAGCAGATTAAGACAATGGCCATGAAGAACAAAAATCCTCCATCCCTACAAGCTTTTTTTTGAGCTTACACCATCATTATAATAAAAATGCTCATGAATTAACCATCCCCAGTTTAGCTTTTATCATCAAGAAAAACAGAAATAAACTGTAAGATACACTCCCACAGAGGAACAGTTTCATTAAAGTGGTTCATGGATTTGCTTTTATCAGAAATTGCTTGTTTTATTTATTCACCTCAGTACTGAACTCAGAATAATCACCTCAATGGAACTCTGACTTTTTTTAGTCCTAGCTTGATGTTTCTGTATACCCATATATCTATAGCACCTATATGCTGGGTTTGCATCTTGACGACTTTAAGTCAATATAGCACCAAATACAGGCACTACAATGGCAATATTCCAGCAGCTGATAACRTGGCTGCATCTTTTTTCAAGAATTGCTGAAGATAAATTTCCTTGGCTTACCTCATAGGCATTCTTGATATTGAGAGGCTGCCCTATGGCTGCCACATGACCCACAATGCCCTTGTTCCACTCCAGGCGAATGCAGTTGTTGGAAGCTTCTTCCAGGGTGGAGCCTTCTGCCACATCAAAGAGTCTGCTCACGAGGAACTTCTCATTTGAGCTGTCCTCACACACCAGGAACAGGGAATAGCGATCAGCTGCTATCAGCTCGTGTATATGCAGGAAGATCTTATGGCAAAGCGCTGTGACATCTAAGTGACTGGAAATGTCTTTGACAAGTTCTAAAAGTCTCGAGCACTGATCCCCTGCGCTGGTCTCAATCCTTGGAGATTGCAGAGGCATCTGTTCCTTCTTGTCAGAGCCAGAGAGGAAGCTCACTGCTCCTACTGAGTCCTTGACAAAAATTGGCCTTAAGGGTCTGTCAAATTCAGAAGCGGAGATTTTCCTCGCTGGTGTCCCAGAGTTGGTGGTCTCAGCACAGGCAGGCTGGTGACAGGCACAGACTTCACTCTGGGACTTGGTTCCCTCCTTGCAGACTGGGATGGTGTGAACTCTCTCAGCAAACCATGCATTAACCATTTCTCTGTAAAACAAAACCAGAAAGACAGTGAATGACAGCAATTGAAAATCCTCTAACGCATCTTGGAAGCTGAAACTGTGAAGAGGATAACTAAACCTTTTCACACAGAGGACACTGATACACCTTGAGGCTCCTTTGCATCAATATTCTTCAATTTTAGGCAGCACTTAGCCCAGGTTAAGCAGTAACATATTCTGCCCCATAAAAAGGAGGTAATTTTGCCTAAARGAAATACCTGAATAGGCAGAGGAGGACTGCTTACACTATGGCTTTCAGAACACAGAGCCGAAGTTAACACCGTAATTTTGTGATTGAAAAGTTCCAGTCTTTCCCACTCCTAAGATCTGGTTTTCTGTGTAAGGCATATATATACTTTCAGTTTCTAACCTCTAAAAAGATAATTTTTAATTTTAATTCCCTCTGTCAAGTCACCTGCAACCCGTCCTATTTTTACATTGCCAATATACTGTTTTTAAATTAACTTCTCCTGATCTCTGAGTAATGAAAAATGCTGGTTGGACTCAAARCATGAGTTTTGCTTGAAAATTGCCRTAAAGAAAAATGAGTATTTCTAATTCAACCCCCTTCAAAATAATGAAAGAATAAACTGTTTTCATGCWTCTTTCCTATTTCCTTTTCTTGCAGATGAAACCCATTGTCTAACTCAACTCCAAATACTGAGTAATCCTAAAATTATACTTTTAAGAATTCATCACCAATGAAAAAAAGCCCTGCATCTCTAATATTCTTAACTGGGTTTCTCAAATTAACTTACTACTAGATAGCAAACTCTAATAATGTCCTCACTAAATACAGCATAGCATCACAACACAACTGTACTTACTTTGTCATCATAATAATTTCTTGTCCAAAATCTGAGGGATTTCTGTTTGGATTTCTTCTTGTCTTTAGTTTGGTTGGKTTTTTTTTTAAACACRGGGCTTTTTATTTCATTTACAGTGTTGAGGATTCCTCATAGCACATGCCCTACTCTCAGAAGAAATGGGTTTTTGCTCTATTACATAACATAGCCTAGGAACAGCAAAAATCCTATTAACAACTCTGATYTTTTGGAAGCCTTTCATGGTGGTCATGTTTTAAATTTGGGATATTTTTTATTTGCTCAGCAGACCACAGGAATTCTGCGAGTGAAGCTGAATGAAACCATGGAACTGAGTCASGTTAGTCAGCCTCTGATCAGTTACACATATCCCTGTACGTTATATATGAAAACCACTGCACAATAACCTTATTTTCCTTACAGCACACCTCCGTTCATGTTGTAGGATGCAATACTGCAAGCACTACTAACCATTAATTCAAAGCAAAGTGATTATCTAAACTCCAACAATATTTTTAATAGCAAGCGATCCACAAAAGCAAACYGATTTGACTTCTGTTAGGAAGATTTCAAAGAGTTTTTCAGATTTTGCAATCACATACCATTTGGAGATCTCAACTGCAGGCAAACATGCTATAGAAACTGAATTATTAAAAACTACCAATAACMTTTCTTTATTAAAGCAGTGATACCKATTTTTTGTGGAGTTACCTCACCCAAGTGGTTCTTGCAGTGAAGCAGAATAAAGAAAAATTAATAAGTTATTAGAACTTAGACTTGAGCAATATTACCTAAACAGKATAACCATTAAATGTGGGAGCTGTGACCATTTATTAYTAAAATGCATAATATGATTTGCATRGGACAGTGTCACATTTGCAAAAGCTGTTTCTGTAAGARTCAAAATAAGAAGCTAGCATGTGRTAACAATTGGAATTTTCATTTATTAAACTGAATGAAAAAGGATAAAATTTTTTTATGAAAATGACAAAAATATCCTTAAGAAAAGCTAATAATACAAAAATCTCTTTGCAAATGCAGTACAATTCCTAAAATCAGTGCTGGTAACTCTTGTCAGCAGATATATTATATGTGGGTTCTTTTTGTTTTACTCTGATCCTAGAAAAAAAAAAAAAAACCTGTACATTTTAGCTTTTTAGCTTTTCCAAAACAAAACTATMATCTAGCACTAAGGCTGCAGAAAGTAACCTGAAAATGCCGGCTGGATGCATTTAAACCTCAGACACCAGAAGGTAGGTCTAGAATAAAGTATAGTTTTAAGGAAGGTTGGTGACTTGACCCAGATTCATGTGTGTGCTGACTTAGTTTCTGAACACTGAGGACTGCCATTAACAGAAGGTAAGATTGAAAAGGAACAGTAATAAGCTGGTMTCAGATGGAGGCTGATACCTTCTCTGATGAGTGATGAGGCACACAAGCCATGTAATTGAAAATGCACATGTTTGAAGGCATGTTTGAAAACACACTGGCATGAACCTGTACTGTATTGGGGTGACAGCAACTTGCAGAGCAATCTGATTCTGTTACTTACTTCTGAGGAAAGGAGAATATAAAAAAGCTATCATATTCTCCTGAGTTACACTGAATTTACMTATGTGGATGTGTTGATACATGGCAAAGAAACAATCTGGTACTCTTTGTACACAAAGCAAAAGCTGAAGTGGAGATTTGACTTATCAGTTGAAACTTTTATTTATTCTGCAGTGTTGTGTTATGATTTCCCCAGGCCTTAATGGTGTAGCAATAGCAATCAGTAAGAACAATGTACTATGAATTCTAATACCTGTTCTCAAGCCRTGAGATTATTAATTTTTTACTCTCTTGCCTTTTTACTATGTAAAATAAGCAAACATTTCTAATGGAGGTTATTGAAGGATGTGGAACACAGCTGTACAACCTTTCACATGGAAGGAATTACATTTAACAAGAACTGACTACTTGTTGGGTATCTGCACTATTTATGAAGCATTTCAGCATTGAACAGAACTATATGTGGAGCTGCATAATTATGAGTAACATAKTCCTGTCCTTTAATGCCTCTTGGATGATGGTTCAATAACTTGCCAATGTAGTGCGTGATTCTCAGAAAGCCCTATAGATTAGCAACAACAACAACTCCTTAACTAAGCTGATTAAAGCATGGGTTTCAACTTCAAACCATTTAAGCATTTTAGTCTGGGCAACAGCAAAGCCATTCAAATTCAACTGGAAAAAGAACAGCATTCACTGACCTTTACCAAATGCCTCTTCTAACAAGGAAACTATTTAGCTCCTTTTACTCACCCAGTTACACACACGGGTGGAAGAACCAGMATTTCGCATGAGCTGACGTATCCAAACTCAATTTAAAATCTCTCAGTGACTTGACATGCATTTGCTTGTTGCCACTCAGTCCTATTTAACAATGCATGACAAGAAGGGTATTATGGCTAACACAAGTACTGTCAGAGCTCAGAATTAGCTCAGCAGATATCCGATACCAGACACGTCSTGAGCCACGGGTGAGGTTCCTGGAAATTAGCAATGAGTGCCATGTACAATTAAGATGTCATTTTGAAATGACTGCAGGAAGAAGCAAACACTTGTAACTATTCACAGGAATGGTCTTCAGTAAGCATTGGCATTGTCAAGAGCTGATTGTAAGGACAAGACCCTGGCTCAGAGGTTGCAGGAACAGATGCTGATCCATGCAGACAATTGAACTCAATGCAGTGTCTCTATCCCACTATGGCAATCACTGCATCTTGAGTTACAGCATCCATTCCTCATGTCCTGGACAAATCCTTTACTGCACTGTGATCTTTTAATATGAACCTTCACAAAAGAAAGTTGTAATTTATCCCAGAGTTCATGAACAGGACTAGTAGAATATGAAGTAACCATTTTTTAGTCACTCCTATCAGCCAAATCCAATCTTTCCTCTATAAAACACGACAGCAGTGACTGAATTTGGCTGGTGRCTTTATCGGCAGATGACAAAATTGGAGAGGAATTTTGAAGCGATAGTGATAAGAAGGGGATAAAAATGCAATGGCAGGCAAAACATTTTAGAAAAAAAGGAAACAAGACAGTGTGATCCTCCCGTCTATCATTGCTTACATGCAAGCACACGTAATCTACAGTTCATGAGACCTTGCAAGCTTCAGAGGAATTAAGACTTTTTGGCCCCGATTTGTTAAATGCTGCACAGAAGGTAGACCTRTCCCTAGAACAATAGGTTTTCAATATTAATAGGCAATATAATTAGAAAATCAATGGTTGAGAAAACACAGGCACAAGGAAGCAAAAAGTCTTGAGCCAGGTGATGCAGGAAGGCACAAGCAGAGCTGAAGAGAACTTTGCTATATTTCCTGTGCTATATGCATCAAACCATACTGATGTAAAACTAATCACTATTCTACTCATACACTGGCAATATTAAATAATTTATTGTACCCTCTTTGCTTCATTGTGATTCTCTTCAAAACACACAGCAGATTTCTCGAAAAAGAACCCCAACACAGTGAGGATGTTAAAATATTAACAGCCAGCTTGTGATKGTCTTGCTTACACATCTATAACCACATTGCCTGTGTAAAAACACACCGATGTGACCATTCAGCACAACTGCATGGTACCTTTGGACAAAATGTGCAAAAAACAGAGTGCAAAAGTAACAATGAGATGCAATAATGACAGTAAACTGCATGTTTCTTCTTGCACAAACAATGCATAACACTTGCAAGTAAGAGAACACAGTGATAAGTAGTTTTCAGTGAAACAGCAAATAATTCCCTGTTTTCTCTGYTGCTCATATATACAATAAGTCATGTTTGAGTAGTTGTGTGGACATTTCATTTAAACCAGCAGTTCCTGACAATACACTTGAGAAGAGGGATTATAAACTTGCCTACTAGAAAATGCCATTTTTCAAGCATCTGAATTCCTGTGGCCTAATCCTGCCAGTGTTGAAATCAACAATATTTCAGGCTAACTTCATAACTATTTTCTAAATTGCCTTCCATAAAATAACAACTAGAGTTCTTCAAATTGATCTTGACATAATTTAGAAATGGAAATCATTTAAAGCATTAGCAAAAACTCCAAAACTATTATATTTTAGCAAATGAGTCTGAAATTCTAAGCCACTTGGACATTATAC